TATTTACTCAAGCATTTGTACTTTAGCACTGTCTAAAAGCTAACTTTCCTCTACTAATGTCAAAATTAATCCTTAGTTATCGCTTATACGGCTTTAATGTTAATATTAGGTCAAAAACAAACAAAATAATAGTAACGTAGCGAAACCTTTCTATTTTATTAAACATTAACAAAACGCACCCAAAATGGCGGTTTAAAATACCATCATTAGCTTATCACACTATTCTGTCTATTCGACAAAATTTCAGTCTTTCAGCGTTATAATGAGTGCCATGTTAAGGATATTTTGAGGGGACGCGATAAATAACCTAATGTTGCTAAAACAAAGGCGATGAAAAACGACGCACGAACCACGTTTCGGCGGGAAATTTAAGCGCCATTTTACGTTAAATAGACATGACGCGTATTGAAAATTATTAATAGCGATGTGATTTTATTAATTAGTCTGACCTAATTCTGACACGAGAGTTATTTTTTACCTTAAATATGTCCGAATTTAAATTCAACCTCAACAATCCTCCGTAAATTTTGTGAAAAAAAAATACCGCGAATTCGTTTGTCACTTTGTAACTTTAATGCCGCCATTGAGACATTTCAAACAACAGTTTATAGTTTTAAAAATTCTGAGCAGTTATTTTTATTTAATATTACAGTTTTTATGCTGTTGTTGATGTTTCGGTTATGATACTTATTTACCTATTTTTATATATTTTAGATATTTTCATTGGAAACATTACATAGCAATCCACAATTAAGTCTTTAAACAGCGACAGCGTGGCATGACATTATTATCGCGAGGATCGATTCTTTTTTTGTTTTAAGTATAATCGAAATCGAACATGGCGCCGCCAGACGATCTGTTTTATCGTTCTATTATCGAAGACTAATGCACTGGCCAAGATAACGCGGACATAAGAGCGGGGGCAGATAAACTCAGTGTGGCCATGTTAAAAATAGTTTACATGCATACTTGTCTATGGTAGGGTTGCAATCTTTAATATTTATGAGATGCTGAATAATTTTGTTTATCGATTAGTCGGACATTAAATAAATAATACCGTGACGTGAGTACCGGTAAATGGAAGTTTTATCGGGTTGATTTATCATATTTGCATCCTCTGTATTGCAAAAATATGTACAATTCGATAACTTAATAGCTTGTTATCGTGATTTCAATGGAATTCGTTGTCATTATTAAAATAAAAACTCGTATTGGAGTATTTTTGCGATATCGCTGTAATTAAAAACATTAATTGTCCCAGTTTCCATACTTTATTAATTCATATTGATTATATATTAATACATTTACTGTAGGAAATATTATTGCTTATTAATTGTGCTCAACCCTACTTATTATGTTCAGATTAAGAAACGAATTCCTCTAACAAATTCTTTTAAAACTTATCGACAGCCCAAAGAAATACATCTTCCTTACTTAAATAGTCATTACGAACTCTTTCCTTGGTGTTATCGAGCGGCCGGCTTCGAAGAGATGGCAATAATAAAAATTATCTATACAAATGGGCTTGGATTACTCGACGACATAAATTCGGCTCTGGCCCAATGAACGTGGCTGTGAGTGAAGATAAAGGGTCAACGCATTTTAGAGCTTCGTTTTTGCTAGTTCGATCCTCCCACGTCAGTCAATTAGAGATATCAACGTTAAGCCCAGATAGACAGGCTCTAATAGCCGAATATGGACGCCTGATAAATACTAAAAGATTACATTTTTATGGTCGGACATTGCCCCAATACATGTTTTAATTTCGTTTATTTATGCTTGGAATGTTGTAAATTACACCGAATAGCTACAATAAAACAAATCGGAAAGCGTATCTTTCAAATGCTAAAGACTATGTCAGGGAATAGAGAAATATTTTAAAGTCCAATCCGTTTAAAAAACTGAAAAAAGCGGCAACCGGCGAGGCTCGTATCGGGCGCTTACCGAGACACCACCGCAGAGTTATTCGACAAAAATGCTAATTTTCAAATCTCGAACTCTCGCCCGCCCGCCACAATCGAGCGACTTGAATTTTTTTGCGATACCATGTTTATCCAATGCGCCTCAGCACTAATTTTTCATGATTAGATTTTTGTCATTGTTCGTCTAACCGGTCAATGTATTTCCTTAAAAAAAATCGGAATAAATAAATTAAAAATAGTTCAAACCTTCGGACCTCACTAAATTAGGAATATAAACCTTTTTCAACACTATCTTCCCAGATCTATTGAATTTGGAACCTTCACTCGAATATAAATAACGTTCGATTAAATCAAGTGTCCGATCGCAATCGACCGATTTTCTTTAATTATACAAATTATCGTGAAGGAGCAGCTATCAGCGCCATCTCTTGGCGAACGCTGGCAATTTCCGCGATAACGCAGCCGAGGAACGATTAAATTCGAGTTTATTAAGAATAAATACTAACGGAAAGATAAAAGTTAAGTATAGCTATCTTGTCTGATGTCCTTATTTTTTGTTAAATTACTTTGTAATTTATATTGCCAGCTATATCTCCAGTAAGTGTAATAAAAATTAATAAAAACACAAATTTGTACAGATCTTTTTTTTAATTTGTCAAGGATTTTTATTTCATTTTTAGTGCGTTTTTTCTTATAAATAGTAGCAGGTAATTACAAGCGGTATATTGCCGACCGGCCAGTTTAGCCTTAACATATTAGATAGAAACTCGATCCATCAAAGCCTTGTTAACACGTTCACGGTTCTGGGGATCCGTAAAAAATATTGCCTTTATTTATGACTAGGTTAATGCTCCGCCGCTCGAACCCGCTTTTATAAATGCCTTAGATTAACTTTTAAATCGGTACTAGAAATTACATACGTCAATACATCAATTATGATTTTCTTGAACACGAATATCAGACGTTTTTAATTTTACTTACGGTATATAAATGTCTCCATAATGTGATCAAGTTTACTATTTTTATGTGACGCGTGAGTAAGAAGGACAAAACATTCCATAGCTAATTGGAGCTCCTACTCTACGCACGTTTGCAAAATACGAATAATTTTAAATTTCGAATATATGAGTTTTTTTTAATAATTTACTACAAGATGATGACAGTATGACGTGAGGGTTGCTGTAGGTTTCGTAGAATGCTTACGCGCTTCAGGTTTCTTAGTGAAGGTGATAAGAAGGTTTAGTGGGTAAGACTGCTAAAGCGCAGTCCTAAACGTATTCCCCTTGATAAATTTTTAATAATCCATCCAAATATTTCATGAATAAAGTAAAAATTTAATAAAAACTAATTTAATAAAAATTAACGGAACCCGCAGATTTAAATGACTTTTTTGGAGTTGTCCTGTTGGTAGTAATTGGTATGGGAGTAGCCGTAACACGATGTTCTAAGGTGGAGTTAATTATTTTTATAGATGGTATCCCTATCGAGATAGTGTTGTAACAATGAGATCGTTTTGACGTGATAGTGCCGTTCTAATATCGAATGTAATAACGATTTTAAGCACCTTTCATAAAATGATTTTATTTACGAATGATTTAGCAGTTATTCAATTTAATTTAGTTGAGCAGTGACGTGACAAGGAGTAGCTTATACTGTTTGTTCAGTAACGTATGTATTATTTATATCACTCAATATAAAAAGAGAATTATTTTAATTATTAAATACTCAAATATATTATTACATAGTAAAGTATGCAGCCTTCATATATAATATATATATGTCAAAATTGACTATTTCATATCACATAATAATTAAAATTATATACAATCTGTGGACCCTTTTTAAGTAAATACAAATTACTTGTGCCAGCTCTTCAGTAATTTATATGGTAATAAATAAATAAATGTGTATTGTGCGAATGGTGGACATGTGTGCGTTCGTGTGTGTGAATGTTATATAATAATAGCCATTAAATCCTCCACTTCTGTGTAACTTAAGTTAATATGTCTGTACTTCCTTATACAATATAACCTATAGTGTTTTAAATTGTTTTAATAGAAAAAATATCAACTATATTTCTCCTTTTGCTAAAAAGTTTACTATTGAAAGCTTAGTCTGTACTTCCTCAACATTGTGTAGAACATATAATAATTATACATTATATTAATTAACTCTTTATTAACCGTTATCGTCACGATATTTTAACCCATATTTCCATGTCCAGTACGTTCAAGTTAACCCTTTCTAACAAACGAGTGGTCTAATCAACCGTTGGGATCGCAGTGACCTCTATGATTGATGTAGAATGCAAGTTAATATTCATAAGGTGTTACTATGTGTAATTTCTTTCGTAGATGTGGGAAAAATAAAAATGGCGAAGCATTTTTATTTAATAAATTGTCGATCGAGCCTAACTTAAGACTAATAAATAATTTACTAAAAATTATATTTAACATAAGAAAGTGTCCAATAACGCTACATACACACAATAGAGATACTATATGCCTAAGGGGAAATACTCTGTTCTTGTGTACAAAAACGTATTGAATAATTTTTGTTCTTTACTTGTTGTAAATGTTTTGAATTCATATAAGAAGTGACTTGAATTTTAATTATCACAATTTATTAGCGATTGTCATTCACTATTAACTTAAAAGAAAACCAAAAATGAAGACAGATGTTTATTAATGAAATATTAAAAAACACTTACCACATCCAAACTGTTATATATAATTTCTTACCTTTGAAATTACAATAAAAAATTGTACTGTACATGTGAGATTGTTTCGAGATATGAAATAAGGAAATTAACAGTTGTGCTACATACATTAGGCCCGCGACTATGTCGTATAATTAAAAATATTAATACTGTGTAAAGCAAGGTATTTTTTAAACTAGTACTCCAATTTAATTAAGAGTAAAGTGTTAAATTGAGATAAACAATACTTAAATAAATTTCAAATTCGAGTTGCAACGTTTCTCAGATATTTAATAAGAGAAAATAAATGGCCGAATCTGATCTCATATAATATATAGTTAGTAAGAATTCCTGTTAATAAATTCGAATTTATTACTAGAATGCAAACGCTAGAGGGCAGCAGTTAGTCTAATAGAAAATCATAATCGTCAAACGAGCCTTGATCGCCTCAACGTCTGATAGGAACCCACCGAGGCTGAGAAACAAGTAAACACGGCAGACATTTGCATAACTATCGAATTTTTAATCTATGCAAAGCGCGACGATACGAAACACGGCTCACGAGTGCCCCCTTCATACATGCGATTTCATAATGACCCCTATTTAATAAGGGATTAATAGTTTGGTAGAAAATACTCCAAAATCTTAGATTAGAAAACAAACAATTTTTCTTTGTACGCACAAACAAAAATCGTTGTTTTCTGCAGTGAATAAAAAAAATCAAAAAAGTAATGTTTTTTTTTAATTTATATAATTTTCTTTGCCTAATTCCTCATTATTGTCGTCGGAGGTATTAAGTAACTTACTAGTATGATTAAGTATTATTTTTTGTTAACAACTTTTTGTATCAAGTATATTTACTGTAAATTTTAGAAAAGGTGATTCTTAAGCTTTTCAAGATGATTTCTTTGAAGTTTGTCTCTGTTGTGTTCATTCCTACAATTTGTTCAGTGTTGTACCTGTCGTAGCCATACATTAGACAGTCAATCAGGATAAGTAATACCGTCTCTTCAGCTGTATTGTTGCAAGGAAAAGCTGGAAGCAAGAATTGTTAAAATTAACAATTATTTATGTGTTCATGGACGGTATTTTTTTAATCAGATATTTTTATTTAATATACCTCCAAACCTCGTTGAACACTTTGATCGCTATCTTATATTCTCACAAGCTTTCCTTTATAGAGTTCTCGACCTTTAACTGTCCTAAAATAAATCGGTATGAAATCGATTTTATCGATAACTTGCGTACGCTCACCTGGAGGCGTCAAAAGTAGGCGTAGCCGCGTGAAGTACAACGTGACGGAATCCGCACTCAATCGAATCGATCTCGATTTTAATTATACGAATCGAGTACATCGTGTAGATCGAATATTAATCGATTGCGATATCGTTCACAGCAGGGTTGCCATGTGCTAAATCATTGCCTTGTTAACAGAGTTAAATGTTTCTTAATGACGTCTATAGTTACGCTACTTTTAATACGTCCTTATGTGCGTGTTTATTAAAACACGATGTTTTTAGGTAAGATGAATTTCTGACACAGTAATACAAATCAGTATTTTTTGATAATTTATATTATTTAAGTATATACTCATAAGTCTGCATTGACAGCTACTTGATGTATTCTTTTAATATAGAATCGAAATAGGTAAGGTTTTATACCTTTAAATACATACCGCTGTACATGTACTTCAGCCGGCGAATGAAATGGTATGGTTCGGTTTAATAATAATGACTAAAATAGTAAGTGAATTCGAGTATTCAACAATTCACCTCGTGATCCGATTGGAGTTTTCGCGTAACTCGATAGTATTCCGCAAAAGATCATAGATATGCAACTGGGAAGTGCATACGTCATTATTTATTCGTGTTGCTGCTGATTTTATGATTACGCGAAACTTAGATGCGATCATTTTGTACAATGGCGTATTTTATGTTGAAATGTGATGAAAATTGATTAGATAGACAATGAATTAAAAAGCATTTGTATTTATTTGTTTATATTGTTATTTATATTGCAATTTAATGGTTGAATAGGCAACTAAAGCTATTGTGTCCTAGGACTGCATTAAATCGCCACTTGTAATTACGGCAGATGTGACCTTGAAAGGGTCAACAGCAAAGTTGTCGGTTGAAGTTTTGGTTTCTTAAAGCTACTTTTATTTATTAACGAGTTTTGACGACGTCTCACTCTAGCTATAGCGTGGCAGTTTTGACATTAAATTCAACGTAATTATAAATTATGATTATTAGATATTAATAAAAGTGTAGTTTTTAAATATATTATTATTTATCAATAATTCCACGCACCGACAATAGAGGTCAGTATAATTTGATTTAGCAGTGTTCGCTATCAGCACACGACGGCCAGATTTATACAGGACGTGCCAGGAAGCTCTTATCTACCGTGCCACGACGTTTTTGCACTCCACACAATTTCTTGTAAGACACTGTTTTTTCGCGGCCCATTTTCTATGCACGTGTTGAACCTTCCCATTAAAGGAAATCTTTTGAGAGTGTCCTATTTCCACGTTTAATTTAAATATTACTAATTTGTAAAATATTAATTTACGAAATTTGTTAACTTAGATTGATGACAACTTACAATTGTCTTTGTAAGTTGTCTATATTCAACGTTCATTAAGTTTGAAACTGAGTTAAAACTATTTTCGTATCGTTGTAGCAAGAATTCATATATTAAACGTTTAAACCCTTAAGTTAATTAAATATATTCTTCAATCCAAACCAATCCACCTCATGTATCTACCTAATAAGTAATAGTTAAAACAAAAATACAAAGTTAAGTATTTAACCGAAGATGAAACTGTCTTCATTAGTGTAAACGAGTAGATTTAACGTTAACAAACGGGCTCGATTTGTTATTACAAATACCTACTAATATTTCCTCAAGCTTCGAAGCTTACACTCGAAATCAGCGAGGTACGATCACAGCAGCAACAGCTGAGTATCGGAACCGATATGCAAATGTCTGATCGTGACACACGACGTCCTGTCGCTCAAGATTGCCGCGGACAGATACACAATACTCTATAGTCTATACTTGTCGCTTATTCGTACCATAAACATTTTTTATTTTTCAAGAATCAAAAAAGGTTTTAATGTATGCATACATTTCTATTATAAGTTAAAGTTCTTGTAATGATTAACTGTAATTTATAAAAAATAATATTAATCTTTATATAATTGACCTTAACTTACAATGTTATTAAGAAAAAATCTCATGGGCCATGGCTTATATCTGTACTTTATATCATTTATGTTAACTGTCAGAATTGGCGGGAAAACAATATTCAAAGATCAAAGATGTAAAGGAACGTCGAGTTAAAACGATTATTCATGTTTAATTCAACGAAACAAAACGTATGTTGTTCGGGTGTTTAATCATATGTATAAAGGCATATAAAATCACAGGTAGTATCAGATTTCGAATAAACTAGGTGATCGGTCACCGCCGTCACAGATCTCTATCGATTCGATTGTGACCGACTCGATGCACGACTATTTTAATTGGAGCCTGATCTTCCATCTGATAAATGTAAGGACAAGATGGCGACTGTTGTTTTTTTCTGTAGCACGTGTTCTCTTGTCGGGTTATAGAATTTTGAATGGCACTTTAATAGCGTTTGTGGCTTGTTTGGACATTTCGAGCATTGAATGGTAAATGGTTTCAAGTTTCAACGAAATATTTGTTTTTATTTTGTGTTTAACAAATTATTGTTTTCGGTTCTAACAGCTTATCAAATTGTCTTTTTGGGTGTCTTGCCACACACTATAGACGAAATCACTACTTTGCGTTATTACACACTACGTGCATTTAAATAATTTCAACACATACCTTTAGCATACCGTGTATCGCGTCTAGAATTTGCTTTCGAAGTAATGCGGGTCCTAACGATTCAAACAAAATAATTATTTGCATGTCTGCTCATACATAAAGAACTTTTAGCCACTATATTTGACATATTTATAAAGACAAAAGGGCACTGATGAATATCATTTAACGAATCGACGTTCGGTCTGCGAGCCCTGCTTAAACGACACTGAGTCACGCCATCTATCTGATTGAAAATTCAACCTCTGAACAATCGCAACTTATAACTTACTTAGCGAAAAACGGGAGCTTGAACGCAACTAACGAACGAATAGACTCGCGGTTCGCTATGAAGCAGACATTAACCGTGGAGTTCAGATAAATCAGGCATTAGCCGAGCCAATCGAGCTGCCACTGCATCCTAACGACCAATCACAGCCTGCGTCTAGGATAGCGTGACCCGAACGCAGTCTGATTCGAGTGGAATTCGTTACCGCGAGATGGCAGCCGCTCGCCAATCGTCGCGTCCATCTCACTGTCGTGCCCATATAATGATCTTCACAGGAGCGGAGAATGAAGTTGAGCCTCTCATTAATTGGCGTTTTGAGCTGAGATCGTTGCGCGAAAGATAGGTTAATTCCTTGCTCGCTCGAGATCCTTGTCGCTCAAAAAGGAAGGTCAGCGAGCGTTTTCTGGAAATCAGATCCAATTACAAGAGGGTCCGTAACCTTTTTGTTCTGTTTTCCCTTGAAGGAATCACGCGCAATGTTGATGGACGAGCGGCCTCGCGACCGGTTCATATTGACAGATCGACCTCTCGATTTCGCATTTCTGTATCCTAATAGAACAAACGTATTTAAACTCTCAGCTCCCCACCCACGCGGCGAAATTTACATACCGCGAGCACGTCTCAATTAGGAGCGCTAATGTATGCCTCGACCGAAGCCAGATCTGACTGACGTCGACTGATACCGAGCGAAACGTGACGAGTGACGACTATCGCGAGAAAACCACTGCCAATGTAGCATCGCTGAGCTATTAACAACACTAATAGGAACCGATACCGTCGATTTGTTTTTATGTCTACTCGGAATTCCATTTACGTATCTTTGAATGCCTCAATTGTAATTAAAGGTGTGTGTCTTTACAGGTGAGGACGAGGAATGGGGAAACGAGACCGAGGCGATGCCGGCAGAACCTCATACGCCAAGTTCCGGAGGCGAGCGCGTCGCCTCCAGTGGTGCTGCATCCCCAGACTCTGGGAGCTCTCCGGCGCCCTCCCCACCCAGACTGCGCCTTAACACAAACCTCGCTACGGATCCTGCGCTCGCGCCTCAAGCGACCACGCTCAAGCACGAGCCTCCGTCACCTTCACCGCCACCGCCATCCGTGCAGCAAGCCAGAGATTTTATTGCGCTCACCGCGGCAAACTTCCCTGCCTTATTTCCCGCTGCAATATCCACACCCCCCGGATACAAATGTATGCCGTGCGGAATACGATATTCCTCGTTAAGCACACTTCAAGCACATCAAGAGCATTATTGCTCTAAAAGACCATCTAAAACAGATAACAATGATTCGTCAAACGAGCAAACAGCTGACAGTGAATCTGGTGACAGCAAGACAAATCGGCCAGTGGGAAAACAATATGCTTGCACCTACTGCTCTTATAGCGCTGATAAGAAGGTCAGCTTAAATCGTCATATGCGAATGCATTCATCATCACCTGTAAGTACTAGCACACCGGTGCCAACACCTACCTCGAACGGTCAAACTACAGAAGGTTCGCCGGCGCAAGACAGATATTGTGTGGACTGTGACATTCACTTTACCTCTGTTAAAACTTTTCGAGCCCACAAAGAACATTATTGCAATACTAGACAAGTTGTGAAGCAAGCAGTCCTGGCAGCTGCTAGAACAGGGTCAGCTACATCAGGCTCTGCACCTCCTTCTCCCGGGACTACTCCACCTGCGCAAAATCAATATGCCCTAGCATTACCAACTAACCCAATATTAATTGTACCGTATTCCCTATTACGAAGCGCTAGCACGTTGCCAGGTGCGACATTACCGGATCCTGATACTCCATGTTTCTTATTACCGAATGGTACATTTCAACCAATAAACCGACATATACCAAATATGAATGCTGATATTAAAGAGGCAGAAGTTTTAAAATCTGCAAATAGACCTCGTGAGGCGTCTAGAGATGCCGCAACTCCATTAGATCTGACCGTTAGACGCACACCTGAATCGGTGACCACTGATGACCATGAGAAGGAAAATAGAATACGTTCCACAACACCGGAACAGATTGTATGTGCTCCATCTCTTCCCGCTTCACCCGCCACGCCCTCACCTTCCAGGCTATCTTCCTCTCCAAGTGGTGAAAGTTCACCAAAACGAAGGCGAAGAAATTCAAGGGATCCTACACCGAAACCTCTCAGGTTACCATCTCCTCCAGAGGAAAAATTCAGCCACGTTGTGCCACCTCAAATAATCCCATCCTTGCCTTTAAGACTTCCAACAGACTTGCCAATCACAACCGCATCACCTCAAGTGCTAGTTAAACAGGGAGTATCGAAATGCAAAGAATGCAATATTGTCTTTTGCAAATATGAGAACTATCGCATTCATAAAAGGCATTACTGTTCGGCTGGAGGAGAGGAACGCGCAAGTCCAGCGCCTCCGGAACCCGGGCCTCCTCCTCAATATCGACAACTGATCTGCCTTGCGTGTGGCATACATTTCAGCTCGATGGATAACTTAACTACGCATCAATTGTACTACTGTACAAAAAGAGAGACTCGGTCCCCAAGAAGTGTACCCGAGGCGCCAAGACCTCCGTCAGGTTCTGAAGGAGGATGGAAATGCCCATGTTGCGAGGTGGTTTCACCGACTGCAGCGACCGCACAAAGGCACATGGAAGCTCACGCTGGCGTCAAAGCTTTCCGTTGTACAATTTGTCGATATAGAGGAAACACCCTGCGGGGCATGCGAACACACATTCGTATGCATTTCCGAGAGAAGCCGTCTGACTTACAGGTACGTGTCATTAATAAAATAAACATAAATGAATAGATATTCACGTGATGTGCAGGCAAATTTAAAAATGCATGACATTACAAGCACTTTTAACACATTTGTGGTTGTATTTCGCCTGTTTCACTCATGTTCTATATAGATAAGTAGGAAGCTTATTTTTCACTAGTTCGCGGAGGCTATATATCTTATATTATTATAAGTCATCTGTAGAAAACAAAACACAATATAATAAATATACCTACCTCTGCATTATAGTGTCGAAGCTATAGACAGTTATCCCAGTTTTACTGTCATTTTATTGTTTAATATATATCTTATCGTCAAGAAGACTTGAAAACTAATTCGACAACAATATTTTTCAGGAGGAGAGCTTTATTTCGTGTGTTCTGGAAGATGACACCCGCGAGACTACCTCGCCCAGCCCAGGAGTGGGGGAACGCATACATCGCTGCGGAAGCTGTGCATACACATCCACCTATCGCGGAAATGTAGTTCGCCACGCCAGGCTGGTCCACGCTACTGAAGATCCAGAACCGGAAGAAACCTCACCAATCCCGCCAGCCGATATTAAAAAGGAACCGGAAATCGATGAAGACACTCCAAACTATTGTAAATCCTGCAATATATCTTTTAAATACGTGAACACTTATAAAGCACACAAGCAGTTTTATTGCAAAGCCGCAACACAGGATGCAACATCGAATAATAATGTTCCCGCGTGCGTTAATGATGCTCCTGTTGTATAGATTGCCATATTAAAGAATATCATTGTCTAAATAGAAAAGTGAGCCTTTTTACTAGTCTATTATAAAATGACATTTCAAAGGCGCTGGCGGTACTTCCATAGACGTAAGAAATATTATACTAATATTATCCTAATTTAAAATTAGTAATTTCCCTAAATTCCATTCCACTTACCTGTTCTTAATGTTACAACATATCTTAAAATATTTCAAATTATCTCAAAGTCATTAAAATAACGTATTTAATATTGACGATAAAGCTTTGCTTTTTATAATTATTGGATACATAAATATTAAGTGCAATATAAATCGATTATAATCATATCAATCAATACTTCATTCGATGTAGACTGAAGAGTGACGTGAAATCTCGTTGTAAATATTTCTGTTCTGTAATTGTTATGTAAATGTATTGTTAGTGTTACCTTTCCATCTTATTAGTATACTTTAATACCAAAACTGTAAATAATTGTAAAGATATTATTGCATTAACTAAATTTTATTACCATTCGTTGTAAGGTTGTTCTTTCTTTGTTGTTTTGTTAATATTTAATCTATGCTGTTTTAAATCAACTGATTTTTTAAATCACTAAGGTACTTGTTTTTAAATTAAAACCCAATTGAGTTTAAAAATAAATCTGTTATTCTGAGGTACCCTGGGTGAGAATTAAAACAGGCATTCAAATAAAAATAACTGTTTTTATCTAAGTAGGTATTTGTTATCGTAGTCAAATAATTATAGACATTATGAATAATCAGTTGATTTAAAATATGGTAACAGTTCGCCAAGCAAGCAATGCTCATTCCACGTTAAACAAGGCAGTGTTCGTAATGATATTGCAACTTGGCAACCTATAAGAGGTTTTAGTTTCTACCTAGTAATTTAAAAATCTCATTGTTTTAATCAGGTATGCAATATCATTTCTCTAGAGAACTCGGATGCTTCAATAGATTTGTGATACATTTTCGTAGTCTTACGATTTACATATTTAGGACGATTCAAGTTAATAAAATTATATAGTTATTTGGGGCCGGATATAAATTTCTTTTCACAGTTTTCAACTAAAAATTGTCTTTTATTGCCGTAAAAATCTAACTACCTAGCGTTACTACACGGTCTTTTTAAATATCGATATTGTTTACGAATTACGATTTTATATTAAAAAAAAAAAAAAAAAAAAAAAAAAAAAAAAAAAAAAAAAAAAAAAAAAAAAAAAAAAAAAAAAAAAAAAAAAAAAAAAAAAAAAAAAAAAAAAAAAAAAAAAAAAAAAAAAAAAAAAAAAAAAAAAAAAAAAAAAAAAAAAAAAAAAAAAAAAAAAAAAAAAAAAAAAAAAAAAAAAAAAAAAAAAAAAAAAAAAAAAAAAAAGAAAAAAAAAAAAAAAAAAAAAAAAAAAAAAAAAAAAAAAAAAAAAAAAAAAAAAGAAAAGAAAAAAGGGAAAAAAAAAAAAAAAAAAAAAAAAAAAAAAAAAAAAAAAAAAAAAAAAAAAAAAAAAAAAAAAAAAAAAAAAAAAAAAAAAAAAAAAAAAAAAAAAAAAAAAAAAAAAAAAAAAAAAGGGAAAAAAAAAAAAAAAAAAAAAAAAAAAAAAAAAAAAAAAAAAAAAAAAAAAAAAAAAAAATAAAAGAAAGGGAGAAAACCAAACCAAAAAAAAAAAAAAAAAAAAAAAAAAAAAAAAAAAAGAGAAAAAAAGGGAGGGGGAAAAAAAAAAAAAGGGGGGGGAAAAAAAAAAAAAAAAAAAAAAAAAAAAAAAAAAAAAAAAAAAAAAAAAGGGGAAAAAAAAAAAAAAAAAATGAGAGAGAGGGGGCCTTTGTTTAGTGGGGGCGCACGGGAAGGCGCCCCCCCCCCCCCCCACCCCCCCCCCAGGCGGGCCGGGCCCTCGTTCTCCTCAGTCACCCATTTTAAGAAATGGAGATGAAAGGCACCGGCCTAGTAAAAAGCAAGGGTACTGCTTTTGTATTGCCAGGTATATGTTTTTTTCTTACATAATGCCAAAGCATCGCTAGATTAATCGTATGCATTTATAGATATCTCACTAATTATAACTAGATTTAAGTGAATACAAGACTTATTCCGTAGATTGTATTCATTTGTGCTTGTCGTTGGAATAAGTCTCGATTGTGGCAACATCACGGTAAAATGTCTATGACCTGTAGAAAAGGACCTAATACAACCAGAAAAGTTTATTACAAACTGAGGATTTCTATACTCGTTTTAAACAACCTACTTAAATACATTACAATTAGTAACAATTTGCCCCAAAAACACCTCAGTATGAGAATAATCAAAATAACATATTTGATTCCTATCCTTGTTTTTAACATGTATTAGTATGTACAATTTCATTAGTGTTACACACATAATGACATTCAATCCTCAAGTGGTGCCATTATCCATTTAATAAATTTAAAAAACTCGAATAAAACAGCTTACATTAATCCAAAGTTTATTGCTGATCCATCAATAGAAATGACATTATGCATCAATATTGATTTATGTTACTCCAAAAGCGAAATACATCTGCAGAAAGTTTTTAGCATTACTAGAGTAAAAAATTTAAATGTATATTTCATGGTAGATACAAAACTTTGTTCTTTTCTAAGCATATAGTATAAGTTCCTTATACAAGAAAAATATATGCATCAAATAATAAACTTACCTCTGAACGGTTGGTGTTTAGTCAGTTAAAACTAAGAATGTTTTGTGTATTTTTGTCTTTGGAGTGAGATAATTTCAGGGAATGTAAGTGATAGTGATGTAATGCATAGTGTAAATATGCCAGACAATAAATTATTATTTATCTGATATTAAATACTTTAGTTTTATTTAACACTTTTATACCATTTCACAGGAAATTTTTGCAAAAATGATGTAGTTTGCTTACACCACAACAACTGTTTTAAATACTATATGAATAAAATTACTGTACTATAAAAAGAAATGATAGATTTGTGCATACATATATTTATTTAAATCCTATCAAAACTCCACAGACAGTTTCACTGAGAAATTTTAAATTAGTATCAAAATAAAACTTTCCATCAATCAGGATTATAAACTTCATCTGGAAGTTGTTCATACAAGTCTTTAGAGTCTTCATCCTGGCCGTAGTAAAACCCATCATCACTCTCTTCCTTATAACCATCTATTGATTCCTCATCCAAATCCTTAATTTTTGTTGAATGAATGAGGTTTTTATTGTCAACTATAGTGTTCTCTTCAGCAAGCACCTTTGCTTTATATTTGGCGTACGCAGCTCCATACTTTTTTACATCATCATTTAATAAGTCTGGTGGATCTGTATATATTTCATCATCTTCATCTGTAGACAGATTATCTGAAAATTAAAATAATCAGAATGAAGTACAGTTTCACAGACTTAAATTAAGAAAGTATAAAAGATAAAGATTAGTAGACATGATTAGTACTTTATTTTGAGTGTGATACTTTAATAACAAATACATACATAAATTGTTTAAAAATACCTAAATCACATCTTTTCATAGCAGCAACCATGTCGTCTTCATCAAAACTGCTAGGTTCAGAGTCAGGATAGTCATTGCGCCAGTTATTTTCATCATTAGAGTCATCATCATCAGCATCTGATGAGGATAAACCATTGTCCTTATAAGTATCCAGGATCAGATCTGTTTCATAGTTCTCTATACTGCAAAGTAGGAGTCAGAAATTAAATTAATAAGGAGACATGCATGGATTTATTAAATGTTTGATGATATAATCTTTATGCTCTTATAAGGATAATAATAACAAAAAAATACCAACCTAACTAAATTATCTAACATTGATATGTCAAACTCATTCTTAACTGATGTATATAAATCATATATGTATTTTGAATTGTCACAAATTAAGTGGGGCTGATGTAAATCTACCAAGTTTATGGAGTCTTTCTCTAACTCTCTACTGCAATTCACCACTTCATAGCGATTCTCTGTAGAAGCTTCTTTTCGTTCCTGGCGAATCTTTTTTATTATTTCATCTACATCAGTCTTTGGTTTTAGCTTAAAATCAGCTTTTGGCACTATGTCCTTGACAACTGCTGGTTCCTAGAGAGAATATTCTTCTTAGGATATTTTATGCAAACCCAAAGTATAAAGAGACAATTGAAGTCACTTTCTAGAGCTTTCATAATTACATATATAGACATTCAGACTAACTCTTAAGGATTATAAGGTAAATGTTTATAAATCTTTAGTACCTTAACTGAAAAAGTTGTGATTTTAGTTGTTTTTTTTATTTTTATAAGGAAGCCTTGTTCTTACAAGCTAACTCAACTGTTATAAAATAAAATTAAAACAAATGAAACTGGTATAAAAGTAAATCAACATACATTTCCTTTTTTTATAACAGACTTTATGTGAACAAGCTCCCTGCATAAAGCTAAAAGCTCCTGTCGAAACTCTAGCCATTGTGTTATTATATCACTGGAATTAACATCCTATAGAGACAACAGTAAAATAGGTATGCACCTGATTATTAACACTTCCCCTGAAAACGAAGAGAGCTGGAGAGATTTCATCTTCGTTTGCTTTTTTGCGTTTACAAAGAAGAACTAAAGCATCTTGTGGGTTATCATCAAGTCTGCGTTTTACACGAAGAACTGTTGCTGACGCCATAACTTACAGAATAAACGATTAAGCACGGAATAAATCTTTATTTACCGATTTTTAGAGCAATAATGAATATTATATCAATACAAAAGTACAAAACTGTTTAGACGTTTTGATTTTTGCGATGTTTCACTTTTTTTTTTTGAGTTTCTAGACCTTTAGCCAAATTCACGTTGAATACAAATTCCCACAGAGTGTTATTCATAACCGCCACAGACAAGATTTCTTTTGCTTAATGTCATCGTTGTGAAACAAGGGGATAACATGAGATAAATTTAAAACTGCGCTTAGATAAGAATGAATTATTAAATTATTAAGTTTTTTATTTTTTTTATAATTATTGTATATTTTGTTAATGTTTTTTTCTAAATCTAATTAATGCGTAAAAAAAGATCAATGAAGAAATGTCAAGAAATGTCGCTTGTGATATCAACATTTTAACGAGATAGAGACTTACAGTGCTATATTCACGCTTTTGTGTTGTGATATTAACATTATTAATGAAATTATTGTATTTTAATAAAACTGTTACCCATATACACTTTTGTTTTATTTTTCTACCTGAAAATATTCCTTAATATTCTGGACTTGCATACCATTTTAAATTCTCGCGCCATACGATAGTACCACTGGCATTAACTGGAGCGCTAGTAGCAGCATTTTTTACTATTATGAAATATGAAGTTGTTGTTCTTCTTCGCTATAAGTAATAGTGTTCTGTGCTTCAATCTCCATCGCATTTTGTGAATTATTGTGACTTGTTTTCGAATTTATTAAAATAAAAATAAGCGCTTGATGATAAATAATCTGAGTTTATAAAAACTAAGTATTTGTTTATTTCATGATTTAAATCTAAATTACATATTTATAGAACAACGTATCGGGAGGTGCGTCTTAAAATCATCTTTATTGATTTATTGTTGGATACATCACAATGGATAATTTAAATTTAAAACATATGAACGCAATGCCAGGCGAAGATAATAATTGGCGAACTCAGGCTTCGCGGCAAGGAATTGTTGCTAAGATGTAAGTACTATCGATTAATAATATTACTACTGTCAATTATACATGAATGAAAGTATCTAAAATATCTATAGTATTTTTTATGCATCACCTATTTATCATTCGATGATAATTAGGTGCTGAATAGTAACTTAACTCCTAAGAAATACATAAAATAGCTTCTAATCTTAACCTATGTTGCCAAGAAATTATCAGTGCGCTTTAGTATATATAAGTATTTAATAATCTGAATGGCTTTATAGTCCATATTTATGTATTTTGTTGCATAAAATAAAGAATATATTCATTAAACCCGACTTATATTTTTTATATTCTTTGTTATATTTTTAGTGAGGAAGTAATACAGAGGTCAGGCATGCAGGTAGCACGAAACAGCAGTGAGATGGAAAACCATGTTTTTATGAAAGCAAAGACCAGGGAGGAATATATGAATATGATTGCTAAACTTATTCTACATGTTAGGGAGATGTGTGAGTATTTAGATAATATAATAAAATAGGCTTACTTGAACTAGTTTTATAATAGGTATGTAAACAAAATATTTTTTATTATTACATTATAATAAAATATGTTGTAAGCTTGTTTTGGCTATTACTTTGCAAGTTTTTATTTATGTTCTGTAATAATTATTATAATCTCTTAAACTAATTTATTTTAAAATACTACAAAGGATAATGCAGATGCTTATTCATTTTACGGAATGATGACAAAAATTAATTAAAACAAATAATTTTAAATTTTAGCTCAACCAAAGCAAAACCCCAATGGACCTAACATGCAAGGTCCAAACCAAAATCAACCAAACAACCAGGTTCAAAATCAATCTGGCCCACCACCACAAGGATCTAACAGTCAACCAGGTATGGCCACAGATCCCATAAATGCTTTACAAAATATGGCTTCACAAGGCACAAGAAATCAAATGATGAACATGGGTCAAGGTCAAATGCAACAGCAGGGTGTCATGGGCCCTAATCCAGGGATGGCCATGCAAGGTCAAATGGGACCACAAGGACCAATTGTATCACAAGGCGGGCCTCAGTCCCAAACAGCTACCAATCTGTTACAAACCTTAAACCAAAGACCTCAACTAAATATGCAAATGCAGTCTAAGCTCGGAGGGCCAATGGGAATGGTCCCTAATCAAGGGCAAATGGGTAGTAATATGGTTGGTGGGATGGGTATGAGTAATTCTATGTCGCAACAACAGAATATGGGAGCTGGAGGGATGCAATCAATGATGCCTAATATGTCCATGTCAAATATGATGCCAATGTCTGGTGGAAATAGTATGGGTCAGATACAGTGTAATCAAGTTGTTGGTGGCATGAGTGGGCAAATGGTGCAGAATTCCATGCAGGGACAAATGTCTAATCAAATGGGTGAGTTTTTAAATTTTAAGCAATATTAATGCGAGGAATGTTGTGTATATAAATTATTTAAAATGTTTTTATATACTGTATGAACTTGGTTATAAAAATTCATCAAATTCGTATTTCATATAAGTACAAACAAAACAAAGTATATAAAACTATATTTTCAACATTTTCAAATCTAGGTGGAATGGGTAATAACCAGATGGTGAATATGAACATGCTTCAAATGCATGGTCGGGCTAGCGGCAAACCGGATGTGATGATGGGCGGAGGATACACACCCCGTGGACCGCCACCCAACCAGTTTCTACGTCAAAGTCCTTCCCCTTCAGCTTCTTCACCAAATATGGGTGGACCCAGTCCTGTCTCTATGGGTAATCTTGCATATCTAATATAATTAATTGGCACTGCCAGCCTATATGGAGTCATGGCCTCATATAAAACTGTATGTCCAGCTAAACAAATCAAGTTGTAATAAGAATCACAAATAATGTATTGTGTATCTTATACACATAAAACACAACTTATTACAAATAATAGCTCAGTAACATATTCTCTATGGAGTGTGATATATTTCTGATAATATATTTGCTTTAGATGTCATGTGTCACTTTGACACAATATGTCAACGTAATAGTTGAACCTCATATATTCAAACGAAGATTAAATCTGTATATACATTTCACTGATAATATTATGTAAACAAAAAAAAATTATATAAATTTTGTTTACAGGTGGGGGTGTGTTAACTGGAGCTCTAGCATCTCCCATGTCGACGTTAGGGGGCTGCGGTGGCGCCGCTGGTAGCCCTTCGCCCTCTGCTTCGCATATGGGACTTCAGCAACGGTGAGAGTCGATTTCAAATTTATATTACCATCTGATTTGTAACACTTATTGTGTTTGAAACGTTTGTCACATTCTAAGGGAAGAATAATTTTTCATTTACTTCGTTATACATTTAGATAATATCGCCGTTCTTTTACTAAAAAGCTGCTTTGTTTATAAAAGCCAGATTAAAGTGCATGATAATAGACACGGTGAGTGAATTTCTGCTGAAAATACGAAAAAATACTCTTATACTGTTGTAATAGTGTTGTTGCTGTCGAATTTTGAACCACTATTCACACCCAACATGGTGTGAATAGTGGAGGGGATTTCCTCCGCTGTACAAATTGCGGACATTGAAGAAAGATCCATTGTTATTTGAAAAGTATTTCATATATATTTAACGAACAAACTTAGTAAATAAGACGCGATTTAGTATAAATAAATAATTATATATTTATAAGTAATCTTACTGATACAAATATACATATTACAAAAATAATCCACAGACAATATACAAAGCCAAAACAGATTACATTGTTAAACAAAATATACGAAACAGAAAACATAAGTCAATTACATACATGAATAGATAATAAAACAAAACTGAAATTAAACATTATCCAAACGACAACTTAATATGTTAAGGTAAAATTTATTTGTATAGCTTTCCCGCTTCCTAAAATATTTCCTCACACCCGCTTTGGTAAGGAAATTGTCAACATAAATTGTATTGTAATTTGTTAAAACCCAAAACATTGGCTTATTGCTCAGATAATTCGTGTTCGTACAAGGCACTTGGCAAAATTGTGAAATTCTTGTCGCATACGGGGGAGGGATTCTTAAATAAATTATTGACAGCAAATATATTTTTTGATTGTCTTTCGGTGGCCAATTGCATCTATTACGTATTTTATTGAACGACCTACGTTTGACTTATTTCAATACAAGCTTACAAAAGAACGTCAGATTGTTCATCATATTAAGGCAATGTAGTATTTGTAATGTCAGTTGCCTTGTTAAAACTGTGCAAAACTTTTGTTTTTATGAAAATACCCTTTTAGTGTAAACATGGGGATGGTGGCGTCACCATCATCGTCTCTTAATACCCCAGTGGGATCAAGCGTGGCATCCCCGGGAGGTGAAGAGGCCGCTTATAGGGAGAAGGTCCGCCAACTCTCCAAGTACATAGAGCCGCTACGACGCATGGTTATGAGGATGGTTAACGAAGGAGAAAGTGAGTCAACTTTTTAATAAATTTAAATAAATCTTTGTTATTAGTTATAGTTACAGATGTTGCTTTAGGTATCTAAAATTACCGTTGAAAAGAATAAGTTTAGTGTTTAAAAAATGAGGTGTTTTATTCAAATAACCTAAACGTGTTATACTTTGTTAAACGTAGAGCTATTGAGGTTTAAAACAAAAGACGAAACGTGACGCTTTTTACTTGAAATTCAGAGTCAAATCACAGACGCGGCACATGACATTTGACCAATCACAACCAAGGAAACGACGCCATTGTTCCGTCATTTTTTTTTATTCCGCTATCTGTCATTTCTACATTACCGTGTCACATTTTAATACATTATAAAAACTAGATGTTGAAAAGTTGACAAAAATGAAGAATCTTCTGGATATCCTGTCGAACCCGAACAAGCGTATGCCGTTGGAGACTCTAATCAAGTGTGAGGTGGTGTTGGAAAAGTTGGACTTCAAACGCAGTGAGGGCGTTGGATTGGGACTGGGACTGCCGCCACCTGGAAAGGTATTTTGACGTATTCGCTTATAATAAAGTGTTATATAATTATACTTAAAAACGCAGAACGTATACAATTAATTAGAAAACGAATTTCAGAAATTATTTTTGAAAAAAGTTTGGCATATTTATGGAGATCTACTATGTTTTTAATTTTAAAAATATAAGTCAACAGGACCTATAAATAATAACTATTAAATGACGATCGTGTAAGCGATTTAAAATAATTTTATCCCTTCATAATTCATAATATTCGAATCACGAACATTAAAACGGTTCTATAAATATGTTCAGTCTATGACATTTCAATTAATCTGTGGCTTCTACGAAAGACCAGGCCTTATGGTCGAAAGACTATAGCCTGCGCCATGGGCGAAAAAAAATCTGTTTCTAACGCCATTTCTGCTAGTTTTTATACATTCCATGCCAATTTATGATTTCAGATAAATTAAACTGTACATAATGTAGGAAATAAATTCAAGTGCTTAAGAACTAGTGAGCATTTATCTTGTGTTAGTTTTATTTACTTTACTTTAAATACAACGGTGGATTTAAAATTAGAGAAAATACATCATTATTTCACCTATGCTAATATTACAAAGAGGAAAGATTACTATTTTGCTATGCTTACGCCTTTAGTACACCTACGAATCAGCGGCAGCGAAACGACGAAAAACTGTTGGAGTTCGATGTTTTGCTCGCTCTAAAATGTAGATGAAAGTCTTTCGGTATTTCGCAAGTAACTGGAAATGGTGTTACAGACAACGTTTCGCTAGTAAAGTTTCGCATGCAAGGCGTCACCACGCGTTCTTATGAGACAGAATTTCGCACAATGAACCGAAAATATTGAATTTGATTCGAAATTATCCCGAATTATATTTATTGGGCATGTTGATTACAAAATCCTCTTCAGAATCTGAAACGACGACTGGACGACTCAGATGACATTCTGAAACGACGTCTGCACCTAAGCCCAGAAAGCTAAATGACATATCCTTGCGAAAAACCTGAGTGTACTAACGTTCCGCAGATATTTCGCTACCGCAATTATTTCGCAAAGATTCGCAGCCGATACGAAGTAGGTGACTAAAGGCGTTAAGATGTATAAACCCAAACCAGTGGATTTCAAAAACTTACCATTAGAGTGCTTTTTTTTTAATGAGGTGAAAATGCGCTTACGCAGGCCCGCATCAAGGATTTCGAGATTGACGCGGGGACTGTGGGGCTGGGTCTACACTCAAATCCCTCTGCTATTCAGAGGGGTAGCGCAACCCACAAAAAAACCACACCCCCCCTCACACTGGGGGCGCAAAAGGGGCCCTCGGGATTCGCTAGGCATTCCCTGAGCATATATATTTATATCAAAAATATTTTAAAAATAAATTTCATAAACGTTTAAATTATTTTCAGGAGCAAATCTTCAATCCACTTCTAGAAGTAGTGAACAACTGTTTGTCCAGTCCGCTCGCCAACCACACCCTCAAACGTACTTTTGGATCTACGCTTGACGCCCTCAATGGCCCTGAGATCAAGTAAGGAAAATTATTTATTTAAAATAATAATTTATATGGATAATATTTCTGTAGAGTATTTTCAATATTAGGTCTAATTCTAATGATATTATATCTAGCACCCGCTCGTTATCCGCTTGCCAAGTGGCGTTCCCTACTCTTTTTCATTCGCTTTTATTTGCAACGCGCGCCATAATGTTTGTGAATATCGTCCCATCGCTTATGTGGTCGTCCTTTACCACGCTTTCCGTTATGTGGACACAATTCTGATAGATAACTGGACCATTTCTTCCTTCTACCTTTTCCCCACTTCGATTTCAGCTTAATAGGCGTTCCAAAGGCGCCGCTGTTTTTTTAATTACCAATTTTTTTCTATAATAATTTTCCCACAGTTTTCTTTTATTGGGCATGTAAGAGATCGCTTAGTAGTAATCTTATAAAAAAACTACGGGTTGCACCCCGGGAGTGCCGGCAGAAGTGAAAACTTGAATATTAACGTTGTGCATTTTTGATATTTTGCAATGGTTAGGGAATAATTTTGCATGAATTGTTTTAATTATCAGTATAAAAGTACTATCATTTATGTGGTAGAATACAATATTTACTTATTGCGCTATCGTACACAAACAAGACAATTTATATTACATTAAATACGCCGCGCCAGCTGTCTACTCTCCATCTGTCTTACGAATTTTTGATCACGTCACGTGTCCTGACGCGAGTTTAAAATTTTTTACCCATTCCAAAAAAAGTGTACAACGCCGCTAAAGAAGTTTTCACTTCAATAAATTAAACAAAGTAACTAATATTTTACAGAAACTTACCGGCGCCACAGAAAATTGCTAAATACGTAGAACCAGTATCAGAAATACCAGATGTATTGCAAGGAGAGATTGCGAGACTGGACTCCAGATTTAAAGTGAGTAACTATTACAGAAAACAAATATTTTATCTTGTAATATTTGAATTTCGAATGTTAAAAGTCATAATGACATACACAGATTAAAGAAATAAATAATCTTTTTCTAAAACGAAAGACAATTAGTAAAAAGTCTAGTAGTCATACTAATATATACATATTAATAATAATATATACATATATAGCAAAGGTGCGTGAAGTTTGTACCACCAAAAAGTATCATTTATATTTATTTGCTATATTCTGATTTTTAATTCTGTATAATTCAAAACTTTATACATTCACTAACAATCTTAAACAACATCTTCTCAACCTGTCCTATACTGAAACAGAAAATATTCTTATTGTGAAATAATAGTTTAATTATAAATTGTAAGTGTTATGTAGAAATTATTATTTCAAGTACCGTTAATTTGTCAAATGGAAGAGACTACCTGCCTTAGGGAATCCTAGTTTGGGAGCTAGTGCACTTTCTTTTTCAATAAACATCCTTTTTTATTGTGTATAATAAAGTTTTTTTTCTTCTTTCTATTAGATTCATTCCTAATTCATGAAACTATTTGCGATATTATTTTCATTTATTAAAACGTTTTAAACCACATTTTATATTGGTACAAAAACTAATGAATTACCTAAAAATATGAATGTGAAAGATGTCCATCGCAATTGTAACAAAACAATGTAAAATAACTATAAACTGCATGAAATCAATTAAAAGTACAAGAATTAATAAGATAATTCACTCCCAAGAATTATTATGTTAGGACCTTGAATGAAGTCAACTTAAAATTTTATAGGTTTCACTCGATCCCTTACAATTAATGGGTGCTGAGGGATGCATAACACTGACAGCTCAGTTAGACGATGCCCGGTTACCGTGCGTGGCCGCCGTACACGTGTCCGTCCCAAGAGATTACCCACAATCGTCCCCGGCTAGACTTAGGCCCAAGGCCACTCGCCCCGACCAGCCTCACCCCTTTTTGGCGAGAGTTGAACGCGCTATGGACGCTCGGTGTGCCAAGTAAGTTAACTTTTAAATCTTGTTTATCATGTTTTTTTAATATACGTAGTTAGAGTCTGGCTAATGAAAGAAGATAATTGAATTATTTGAAAACATTCGGATGGCAACAAAGAATGTCTTTCTTATGTTAGTATGATTTATTGTCTTGATAGTTCATTCAATTACTCATTTTTATTTCTATTATATATTTTTTACGAATTTTAACAGGTGTAATAGCCTAAACTTTGTTTTATTTGATAGAATATTTCGTTTCTTTCGCAGGATTTGATTATTCCGAATAAAGTTGTGTTTTATAATAAATATAGTTTTAGTTTTCCATGCAATGACTAGATTTTAAGTATCAATAGTAAAAGACTAAATACATATAGTATTTAATTTCATTGAAATATAGTTACTAAAAATAAGAGGAGAGAAGAGGCCATTTTAAAATGGCCTATCTAAACTCTCTATTTATCTGTTGACATCTAATTCGCTTCTTTCAGGTTACCAAAGCGCTGTTCAGTCGGTGAATTGTTAAACGCATGGGAGATGAGCGTACGACAAGCGTGCGCACCCGCAACTGTTATGTACACGCCCGTACCAGCATTAGGACTATAAATATATAAAAAGCTAATAAGTTTATATAAAAAGTATATACACAATGATCACAATATTGTTAATTAAATAATCTGAAATTTGAAACGTAAAATGAAATCTATGACATTTTCGAAAGTGACATAAGGTTAAATTCAAATTTCATTTGAATATGAATTATCAATTTGATTAAATAACGCTTAGGATTTTCAAGTCACTTATAAAAATATAACGTAACTCCTTCAATGATAACGTACACATACGAATATTTATCGTAATAGAATAGTAATTTGTATTGAAAACTTGAGCAGTGCTACAATTGGACCTTAAGGTAATTACAAATCTAACCTATTTAACCTATACGGATTGACAGAGAACTGTCACTGTCAGAAACATTGACGTAAACAAATCTATCGCAGTTTAAGAGAAATGGAAATATAAAAATCATAAATTCTACAATATCCATAACATTTATTAATCTTAAGTCAAAGTTTTGTATTTTAATAATGAATTTTTATTTTTGGTGTTTATAAGGATAAATGATCTTCCTCGCGTATAGTAAAATGTTGTACTAGAAGTTAGATTAACTGTTTCAATATGGATACATAAGCTAAAAGCTATTTAATGTTTTGTCTCGCTTCTTTATCTACAAAGTGACGCGAGAGTGATAGAGACAAAACATTTGAGGCTTATGAATAAAAAAGTATTTAGCCCTTTAAATTGATTAAACGACAACGACTATCGTAATGTGTTGTGATAGATTTAGTAATTTTGGAAGTAATAAATATAATATAAATTAAAATCAATTTTATGCCATATTTTAATAAAATAATTTCGAATATTTACACAAAATTTTCGGTATTAAATGGTTTCCTAATACATATAGGTCTAATTTATATAAGTATTGCTCTCTCATATAAGAGCTTATTTCCATAGCTCATAACAATTGGATAATTTATTATTTTGTAAATACAAAGATTATTATTAAATTTAGCGCATATCACGCTCAAATTAACAAGCTTAAGGGATCTCGAAATGAAATAGAATCAGCATAATACACTGGCTATTTTGTAATAACTATAAACAAATATATTAAGAAATATAATCATCGGGTTTGAAGATATAATCGTAACTAGAATATTTTAATCAAGTTTTAAACCTTAAAAATATAACTTTCATATAATATTGCAATTCATGGTTAAAACATTTTATTAAATGATCTACGATTAGTTTACTATAAAAACTGCTTTATAAAGTCGCCAGTGTGTTATGGCCCAGATGTGATATAACTGTGATACTGATATTTTTAACCACTCACTCATAACGCATCATAATAGAAGTAGTGTCCTTATATTATTTAACAGTGGCATTAGCTTCGCGTTGCAATGCTATGAGATAGACCTCAAACACTTTCCGACTTCTTTCTTCTTAGATAGAACTATACAACAACCGTTTGAAGTTATTGATTTTTGTTTTTTTAAATAAATAGTACGGATAGCCCTAGGGTAAGATTTAGAGATGACATTTGGCTCTAAATGTGACTTCGTGTGTCAAAAAAGGAAATGAAATTGCCTCTGAATCTTACCCTTACTGATTCTTGTATTAAGCCACGATAGGATTTGCACTTAAGATGTGAGATTAGGATTGATATAACAAGTGTGGATTTAAGTGATATAAACAGTTTATTTTCGACTTTGTCCTATTGTGGTTAAATTAAAAGAATAACAGACTATAGTATACGGTACACGACAATGCCAAAAGTTTGAAGAAGAAAAATTGATGTTTTGATTTATTAAGAAATTTGTAAGTAAAATAGGTATATTTTTTATATTATCTGTAATATTTTCTTATATACTAACATCGATCAAATTAGAAAATTTCAATAAGAAAAATATCAGTTGAATATTATTATTAGATTTAAGGTAAAATATTATATTTGAGTTTATTTTATATTTTCTTAATGTGAATTAATCAAAGAACGAGGTCCCTTTTGATTTTTTTAGGAAATGTATTTCAGCAATAATTTTTGTAAAATAAAGATTAGAATGTTTACTATTGTTTTATTTCTTGTGAAGTAGTTAAGAAAAGTTTTTCCCGCAATGGACAAGCGAATTAGCTCGCCATATTTATTCTACAAGTGCCTAGTGCATACAGAAGGCATGCGCGTGCGTTTTGTCTATATGTAAAAAAGGTAAATGATTATTCGAAATTGATATATTAATAACGATTTTAACGTTAATCATAATATTCATCTTATTTTCTATGAATCAACTGTTTAATACTTTTTTAGTTGAACTGTCAATATTAATGAATAATTCTATTGAAGTGCGAGCCCGCTGCATGTGGTTCAGTTATAGAATGTACTAACGCACTTATTCTAAGGTATTTTTATTTCCCCGATAGATTTAAATAAACCAAGCACTAGACCAAACTGACCTTAGTAGAGGTGAAGATAATTAATTACCTTAATTGTATTTACTAAAGATAAGAAAGTAAAACAAGCTAACTATAACAATTACATTAATAATTTTATTTATAACAATCACAGTAAATACCACAGCTTAACGAATAATACTGTTTTTCTATCTACTATTTATTAGTTACATGATACATATATTATTCTAAAACAATGTCTACCTAGGTAAAATAAAGACAATTTTGTAACTGGCCCGTAATGTACCTAAACTAAAATTTCAAATCATTATCTCAACTTCTCAATTTTAGATTGAAAAAGTTATACATGCGTACAAGCTTAACTCGTCACCAGTATGGAAATTGTCACACGTCAATCGCATTAATCTATGCGACATAATTTCATACGCATTGCCCTAATAGCAGCAATTTTTTTGTTTGCGTAATTTCAAAGAAAATAGAATTTGCATTCCCATTGGCGCACGATTAATTCGAAGTTTTAGTCCGATCGCTTCGTCACACACCTTTCATATCAAATACTTAGATCAGTTATTATCCTGCACATAACTCAAAACGCTTGCCAAATAAGTCTTATTAATATAGAACTATTTGATCACCTTTGAGAATACATTAACTTAAGACACACTCGTCCTATTACTAGTATTATCTGCCCAGTACATGTTAATCTAAACGTACATTTATACATTATAATACATATTGTTATGTAAGATAACTCTAGACCGATTTTGACGCAATTTTTAAGTTCGTATGGGCTTGTAGTATAGAAAAAAAATACACATTAGCATATTACAGAGAAAATTGGTATAATTGTTGTGGTGGTCTTGCGCAGGGTGCATTTCGTCTGGTGTTTCCACAACACGACCAGTGCCTTGTCCCAGGCCAACCAGCGTGACCGTGGCCACAACCTGGAAATGATGGCATCATGAAAAGCAATAGCAAAATCAATTTTATTATAAAGTTGTCACAGCGGAGCGGCCGTTACTAGGCCAGACATGTACCTATATTTGTATGTTTAAACGTTTAATAAGCTTAAATGTTTAATATTTTTTCATGTTTATTTATTTGAAAAGTAGACACCCTAGTTTTCTACTTTCTACTTTACTACTCGGAGATAAAAGTAATAACAAATAAGTAGGTAAGCACTGGGTACATCATTTTTTGAACAACATACGTAGATTAATTGTTTTCTTAAAAAAACTGACACAATTTTAGTTTAACTTAAAAATTATTTTATAAAAGAATTAAAGTCACTTTACCTTTATAGCCACCAGCCATAGTAGATCCACAAGCGCAAGTAACATCCCTTCGTCCACCAGAAGAACAGAACGAGCAACAGTGGAACTGACCCGAGTGAGCTTTCATCACTCGCGCGCAGCAGGTGAATGGACTGCCCTAAATTGATCATAAAAAACATAATAATATAACATACACAATTCCACAATAGCATTATTGTGGAATTCGATTGTGATATATTTTTCTGTTTAAGTGTTAACATAAGTATAAGATCACATCAGCGAATATTTTCAAATTTGTTAACAAATATTTATTGGTGTTTTATACCATAAACCTACAGTTACCTAGATTATTATTTAATTTATAATCTTGCTATATAGCACCAATAACAGATAAACAAAAAAAAAGGTGCGTGTACTTATGTACGCGCGTAAGAAGTTATACTTCTTTGGCATTCTTTATTTTTTTTTAAGTATTAAATAATAAATATTTAGCGTTAATAATTTAACAATATTTAATATTTAGTATATTATTCAATTATTAATTAATATTAATAATAATTATTATTTATTATTTTATTATATTATTAATTCAATTTAATAACTAGGTATGTTTCATAACCTTTTAACTAAGTAACAATAGGTCTTTGTGAAAAAACATTGCTAAATTTCTTTGAAAAAATAATTAAAACTCGTTTATTTGTTTAAAAGGTACTACAAATGTCATTATGGTCATTCAAAATTCTTGGCATAGCTGCTAACGTCACGCATATTCTATTTCTTTTTACTTGTAGATTGTCTTATTCCCATCTCGATCGCGCACGCTCGTCGCCCATACTGATAATTTTTTGTCACAGGTGCGCGCGCATCGTAAAATTTCACTCTCATAAATTTTTCATAACGCGCCTAAAGAAGTATAACTTCAATAATTAAATTTAATTAAACGACTGTATCATTATTTTACATCAACAATACAAAGTTAACAACATTTCTAAATCAATTGTCCTGGATATGACAATCTACGAATCTCTAATACATTTATTGAATAAAATAATTATTAAAGATAAAATTTCAAATGATAATATTATATACCTTAATTGGAGTATTGTTAAGCGTGACGGCTAGCAAGTAAGCTCCGGGGCTAGGAGCCGCAAAGGTTACCGTGTAGGAACCATCACCTCTGTCTCTTACCCGCGCTAAGGCGGGCCTGGCTGAGGAATCCCGTCTTCTAAAGTAGCCACATACCTATAAAACATGATTGATTATGGTTATTTGACACCCGGAAATATTAAAGTTTTAAAAGGACATACTGCAAAAATCTAACAAATTGTCGAGTGGCGGGTGATTGACACCTTTATAAAATTAAATCTTTTAAGTATGTTGGCATTATTGTTCCCTAAAAGGAATTCGTATATGTTTATAATGTGACGTTAGTTTTGTTCAATAACATATAACGTAATCATAAGGAAAAACATAATACATCTTCCTAACCATAATTAACCTACCTGCTCTCCTCCACACCATATCCTCTCATCTTTGCCGTCATGTAGTTCTAGTACTGCTTCATGCGGGTATTCTACTTGCAGATCTTGAAATCCTGAGAATGTTTTACGTAAATTATTAATGTTTTTACGTAGAGAGAAGGCAACAAAATGATTTACCATGTTTGCATGTTCCGTGGTGTTTTCAAAAAATTTAATTATTAATTTGCGTCTAAAGTTTGTATTTGGTACGGGAGACTGGGTACACTTGATCCTCGGGGAACTTGGTAACTTTATTAAAAATCTACTAAATGCGCAACTTTTTAAACTAGCAACACTTGTTTTTTATGGCAAGGTTAACTTTCTGTATAGTTTGTTGGACAAATATAGTAGTTTGAATGGCCGGAATCGAAATTTTTGTGGTGATTTATATAAAATTTGGTAAGTTTTAACACGACATATTTAATAAAGTGTGATGGATTCGCTTTTTAAAATGTGTATAGCTTTTAGAGATTGTTTTTTGTGGTTTGACGCTTGTTGTTATGAAATAAGTAGTAAAGTGTTTAGAGTGATGCATGTTTCATAACCTCAGATTTGGGGAGATTTGATCTCTTCCAAGGGGTGAATTATCCAGGGATAGTTCATAAGAGGATCAAGTCTTCCATACATAAAATATTTACTTTATACTTTTATGGCGCAATTATTTATTGGTATTTAATTTTTAGAATACGATGCGAAATATAAAACTAAAGAAGTTCAAGAAAAAAAAGCCAATCGATAAAGAAAAACTAAAACTTGGGTAGCTGCAGTTCTGGCCGGAAATACACTAAAAGGCACTGCAAAACAATATTCGGTACCTCTATGACTTTGAAAAGATATGCTAGAAAGCAAAAAGAAAATGACGAGGAAATATCATACGAACCCAACTACAAAAAATCGCAGATATTTTCAGACCAAGAAGAAAATATTTGGAAGAATATTTGAAACCGTAGTAAGTTGTATCATGGCCTCTACCCTAAGAAAGTACGTACCTACTAAGTTCGCTAGAAGAATAAAAAGAAGATTCCTATCAGTTGGGAAGTTAAAAAGAGGAAGCTACGATTGGTTTTGGTTTTATGGAACGCCATAAGAAATTGTGAGAAAACCAGGCTACAAGTCTATCAAGGGCCACTAGTTTCAATCGCCATAAGTCAGGCATTCTTCGCAAATTTAAAAGTTTGATGGAAAGATTCAATTTCGATCCTTCGCAAATATTCAACGTGGACGAAACAGGTATAACAACCGTTCATAAGCCCAAAAAAATTGTTGCTTGTGAGCCTAAAGCAAGTGTCGAAAGTGACATCTGCGAAAGAGGAGAACTTGTACGGTCTGTTCGGCAATTAATGAATTGGACAAAGTTTGCCACCTTTCATATATTTCCCAGAAAAAACTGGCAAAACAGAAGTTAATAATCTCTCCTGGAAGCAATGGTTGCCAAATAGTGGCTGGAAGTTAATTCAGAATTTTTAAAACATTTTCAGAAGTATGTCCACCTACCAAAGAAAACCCGGCACTCATCATATTTGACAATCATGAAAGCCACATAAGCGTAGATTCTAGAAAAAAGAAAATAAAGTAAACTCACGTGATTCATGTGTCCCCTATTAGGGAATTTATCCCCGGGATCAAATCTCCCTTATGGTTAGGAACAAGTGTCCCTGATATAAGGGACACATGATACACGTCCATGGTATGAATTTTATGAAATTATACTAAAATTGTAAACAAATCATGCCTCTTTGATTGTGATAGATATTTATATTCGAAACATAGAAATATAAAAATTTTAGCAATAATGTAGAGAGTAATAAATTTAGAGACCAAAATAAGGGGGATTGGTACGGTGTGGTTATATATACGTACAATATGTTTTCAAATATATAAATATACTTACAAGAGTTTTTACTATTTCAGAGATCTAAACTTTTATTAATAACGAAAGAAATAAACTAACTAAAAAAAGGCCGCAAAAAAGAAATAAAGTTATATAATTTGTAGAGCAATAACAATCATTATTTATATTAAAGAGAAGCAATATAAAAAGTTTTACAAATTCCAAAGAAAGATAATTAATAAGGAATAGTCATTGCAAGGTGTGTACTTCACATTATGTGAATACCTTCGGTATTTAAAACGCATTTATCCGGATCAGCGGCCTGCGTGAGTAGTCTTCCTACTAAGCGATTTTCCGGTCCTGGCGCGTCAGGGGCGAAGCGCAACTCGCATCGAGGGGGCTCCGACACGGGCTGAAGCTCCGTCAGCCTCTCGAGACGACGGAGTACCGGCCCGCTTAAAGACAATACCTCGTCTTCTTTGCCTTCTGAGAGGAGCTGGGATAATAAACCTTATATTTTAAAACTCCCAAGAGTGTTTTGTTCATTATAAGGTTTTTGCGAACATATAAATAATGTTTACTAGAATATATTGTCACCTTAAATTAATATTTTATATCAATAATCTATTATTTTTAATAGGCATAAACATATTAAAATTTTTCATTTTTAGTCACGACATCGTACTAGCATATAATAGTTATAATGATATATCATTGTTAATCGTAGGTATATATATATATATATATATATATAGTTGGGACCTCGAAGAATAGGTTAATATACGAACATAAATATTATTTCGATCTTTTTTAAACCAACCTCTTCAGCAAACTGGACGGCATCCAACGCGTGTTGTGTTCTTTCTTCCAGCTGTCGTGTCTTCTGTTCTATCTTCTCTCTGCATGAGGTTCTAGCCCTGGCTGCGGCAGTACATAAGGCGCGCCCGTGAGCTTCCACTGCACGTTTGTATTCTTCTGTCCACGCACGAATCTCTGCTTCCACACGGGATGCTTGGGTCTGGCGAAAAAACCTCTTAACAATGGCTTTCCAAAATTTGCTCACTGCCTACAATTATTTTAATATTCTGCAAAAGCATCTCAAAATATATCTTAATATTGTTAAATGTCACAATTTCAGGGAAGAAGAAGTGGGTATGTATAGATATGCATTTGAAAACGAATACATAATGACAGAACATGCACATACACAATACACATAGTATGAAGGTAATATTTATAATACTATGACGACAGTGTTTCTGAAATATTATCTACTAGAATTTTTTCGTGTGGCTTTTATGCAAAAATATTTCCTATGAGAAATATTTGATAACAAAACGGTATTAAATGCAATATTTATGTTAAGTCTCACCCTATTTACCATCTCTTCTTTAACAGTGATACCAGTACCGTTATTTAAGGATAAGGATTTATCAAAAATAATCGTAGTACTTCTACTCCTCTCCAAATCAATTTAAACGTGCTAAATGTGGCAGTAAAATACAAAACGATTGGTTAATAGATAGGCATAGGCATCGCTGGAAACACGCCGTAGCCTACGCGAGCTGCAAGTGACTGTTTAGCAAGCAGTACCACTATTACGGCGAAGGTGAAGTTCTCTGGAGAAAGTTAATTACCTCAACTTCATAAGCATGCACGTGGAGTATCCTGGTGGCTCTTTCAACATTATCTGGTACATGCTTCGCTCTCTCGCACGCGTCACGCACTTGCCGAGCGCGTTCTTTTGCCGCCCGTGAAGCGTTTGCAAGAGCATGCCCCGAATGAGATATAACACAACAATCACGGCAAACTACCTGAAAATATATATTGAGATTTGAAACATGCTACCTTCTGTATGTGTTTTCTTATACGGTAGGAGCAGGTAAAGATACGAAATTAATAATTGATTTTTCCTTTTAACTAGTCTACTTCTAATTAAATATTACGCAGTATGAAACTGGACATATTGAAATCAGCGGGAATCACTTCAGTCATAATTCGAAATTAAACACGACTTGTTTTGATTATGAGTTTCTTATTGCTACCTTGACGTCAGAATAGTAAGATAATTCGTTCAAAGTAACGCACCTGCTGACAAGTTGCGCAGTACACACTCAACTCGGAACGTGGATGTTGGGTGCAATATCTGACTGGAGGATCTATGGGATGAACGGGATGTTTGGATGTTGTCTTCTGCTTCCGATGCGAATCAGCACACGATGTACAGATGCTTAGAAGGCATTCGTCACATCTACTCTCGGCCTGAAAAAGGCTACTGCTGTATAAAAACCCATTGTTGTTGAAGAGTTCAAATACTATAGTTTTTTTTAAATATTTTTGAAGTTATACTTCTTTAGGCGCGTTATGAAAAATTGATGAGAGTGAAATTTTACGATGCGCGCGCACCGTGACACAAAATTAACAGAATGAAGTTGCCCACGGAAGATGCTACGGTATTGGACATAATTTAAAAACAACATTCGAATAATAATAGAATTTATATTAGAGAGAGAGAATAATAATAAATATTTATTTATTTAATTTTTCAAATGTAAACTGAACTTTATTGACTATAATAACTCCTTTTCCAGTCTTTGATTATTTAATTGTAATTAATTTTTTGCATGCAATCAAAAACTATTTTTAATAATGCCAAAGAAGTATAACTTCTTACGCGCGTACATAAGTAAGCATTTTTGCTTTGATATATATATTTGCGTTTTTAAAGTAAAAGGTAAAGTCAAAGTCAAAAATCATTTATTCGTATAGGTAACAAACACAATGTACACGTATGAACGTCAAAAAATAAATATACAATCAAATGCTTCTAATTTTACATTTACCGCCAGTCAAATTAAGGGCGTAGAACGGAAGAGAAGAACTGGCAATAAATAAAATGGTAGTCTACAATAAGCTTTATTTGGGTACCATTAGATATATGCTCCTATGAATAAATAAATATTTAAAATTTGGACACAGTCTATGTAGACACAATATACAAGTTGGAAGCACTTTATCGCGAAAAAAAATATATTTTACTAAATATAAACTATTTTTAAGATACGCTTATTCCAAGCACAATACTATGTATATTATAAAAAGTTGTTTTTGTATGGTTACACCATTTTATAAAACTCCTTTACTAACATTTTTTCTCGGCATTTAATTGTTTAAAAACGTATGTATCAAAAAAAGAACACAAAGGCCATCAATAATTATGTCATGCATCAATAATGATGTATACTTGTGCCCGAAATAAGTTTTCAATAAAAATAGGAATCCCTCACGCCGTGTGAAGTAAACGTGGCATGTCATTGTAAATGAGGATTTCGCCTCGAAAACCGATACACTTCATTTAAATCTGATTTATTTGAGGACATTAGTCGATTTTGTTTGTAATTGAATTTTAACCGTGAAGTACTATGATGTATAGAGTTCCGTTTTACACTGCTATGGATTAAAGTTAGAATAAAAATTCGATTCAATTGTAAAATATATCCTTTTTTGCGGTAATTGCGTTAAGTCGGTCAGGCAAATTTTGCTAATGAAAATAACTGCAAAAATTCATGTTTTAAATCTTTCTTGGATATTAAAACTATAACAGGTTATGCACAGTTATACCTAATTTCATCGGGAACTTTAAAAAAATTTGATTACCTAACTATTATCGATAGAAAATCCGTCACTGAAATTAGTCTGACATTTCTTCTGGCTATTAAATTATATGTTTACGTAGGCTGTTGCAAACTTTAAATTAATCAAAATATCTATGAAGCCACGTTAATAATTGGTAGTAATGGTACTGTAAGGTTTGCTAAGGTATCCCAAGATAGAACGTATTTTATTCGTTTTAAATAAAACTTTTGCACGGATATAAACGTGAACTATAACTTCTCCGTTTCGTGTCATTAAATATATACGGACTCTTGAAAAAGATTCTCACTTATATTCCGTGAGTAGGTAGTACTCACGTAAACGAAACATAACATTAATATTTTCTGCATTGTTTCTGCTAAGGACAACTTATCAAATTGCGAAATGTGTCTAGACGATCCCCTACTGGGATCTTACTTTCTCAGAACATTGAATACAATTAAGTCACTTTGGGGAATTGTGTACAGCAATATCCACCTGAGAATTTCGCAACACCTGGTTATGAACTTCAAAAGTGTTTTTGTCGTGGACCGAGGTGTGTTGATTTAACAACAATAATTTAACTTTTTGTAGCAATCGAAACCTATACCCCTGTTAAAAGGTGTATTCAATAAAACAAACACAGGTGTGCATCCCCTTAAAGAACCTATTTAAGTATATGAGTAACATTTTTCAAGGATATAAACTTTGTTTAATCACACTTTTTAAAGTATTTTCGGAAAATAAATAAATACTTTTTTACCATTAGCTAGTTTTAAGAAAGGCAAAAGTATCATATACAGTGTATTAATTTTGTACTGTTGTGATAAAATAAATAAATACCTTGCAATCACTACTGCACAGATCACATAGAATATTGGCAGCATCTCGACTTGCGATTTTCCTCAACAACACATAGTTCAAAGGTAACGCTGATACTCCACCCAAGGGGAGTGGCGTCTCCCCCAAACATGTTGGGCATACTACGAAATGGATACTCTTGCCTGATACCTGTAATTAAAATTTAACTACCTAATTTCTGTCGTGGAACAAATGTGGTGAACTCACTTTACTCGTAGCGATTTGTCGATTACTCTACTCCGATTAACCGCTTGTTAATTATTTAATTACTCTTGACAGGATTTTGGACCGGTCTATACACTGCTTGTTATGCACGTAGGTTATAACCCGAATGTTGCACAGTACGCACCTTTTTTGTATAAATTCCGAATTTGCGAGGTTTCTGATTAAAACTAGCATCAGAGTCGGAGTTTCTTTCACTCTCGTATCCTGATGCTGCAGAACCACTACCACTGGCACTTCCACTGCCTGATGCGGATCTAGTACTGGAGTCTTGTTGTATTGATACTGAAATTTGTTACAAATATTTTAGTCAGTAGAAAATCACAAAAATTTAAACACAGTAATGTATAATTCTTATATAAATATTTCCGAATCACTCGAGGCCCAACACAGGAATGGTATGGTCGAACAAACGGCAAAGTATAATATATTGAAATCTAAAATAAATAAATAATTACTGTGATCGTGACAATAAATAAAATATATAATTATATTCATAGTTATATTTATTTACAAGTCAAATTTGATTAAGTTATACCCGAAAGTATTTATAGTTGTAAATAAATTGTGCGTGTACTAGGTGTACACACGTAAGAAGTGAAACTTCTTTATGATCTTATTTTTCGAAAAATGATCTACTATATGCAACTTTACAGAAATTCGTTGATTTAGATAAAGTTTAACAAAAGGCTTTTATAATCATAGACATGAATACAAATATTTCATTTTACCTTATTACTACGAAGATTATTATAGAATTTCATTAATTGTAATAGAATTATTACTATCATTGAAAAACGTGATGATTTGCTACAAAATTTCTCCCATACGTCGATAAAGAAGTTTCATTCCAACCCCGATAAAGAAGTTTGACTTCAAAAAGCAACATGGCGCGTAACCGAAAAATGTGACGCGTAACGAAAAATGTTACACTAAATTTTTTTCCAACCTCGATAAAGAAGTTTCACTTCAAAAAAATTACATTGTATAAAAAAAAATAACAAAAAGAAACTCAAAATAAAATTATATTCTATAAGTAAGTCTGAATTCAAATTAGATCAATACACGTAGTTCTTAACCCTCCTAATGATAGAGGTGACAAATAACCTAGGCAAGTAAATATGTGTTTCACGAAAAATTCTTTACCATTTTAATTCCTTAAGATACCTACATATAGTCTCGATCGAGTCAAAATCCAATTATCCAACCCAGGGGTGCCGTATGTGTAGTCCCAAAAACTAATTACCTAAGATAAATGCTTGTACGCAGTATTGGCAATTTATTAATAACAGCGGAAGACACAAATGTATTGCTCATTACATCCGACACGAAACGTATTCTTTAAATAAATCGGCCTCGGGCAAGCTGAATCATCTTGGGCACTTGAAAAATATTGTAAGAGTGCAATGATGTCTATAGTTTTTTATTCTGGGCTACGAGTAGATGTGTAACGTCGTCTAATACCAAAGACAACTAATTGTCTGTGGTATCATTTTTAGTTATTATATCAGTCTGGTGGAATATCCCTCTTGGTCTAGAGCAGTATTTTCCAAACTTTTTTGTGCCAACCTTAGCCTTTCTAAATTATTACCCCCCCATGCAACATGCATAATTTTTAATACATAAAAATTTAATTGTTTCTAAGTTTTGCTCACTCTCTTGTTAATGACAGGTTTATAGGACGCAGTAAGTAAAGTCATTTTCAAAACATATAATAAAAACTGAAATTCAAATTCCAAATAATTTTAAGAAATTTTCTAAGCGCCCCTGGGCCCCCCTACAGTGTTTTCGCCGCTCAGCAAAGGCTGAACAGTAATAGACAGACTACAGACTTAGGTTGGAAGTTGGTCAACAATATATTAGAGCCAGTTCAAACTTTACTTCCACCTGCGCCGGAAAAACTGCTGACACTATTTTTCGCAACTGTAAAAAGGGATGCAGTGCTAAATGTGGTTGCAAAAAAGTCGGACTGTCTTGTTCTTTGGCATGCACAAATTCAAGGCCGGTCGTGCTCTAATATTGAATCACAAACAATGGAGGATTCGTTTGACTCCGACGAAGTATCATGCGACACATCGCTATTGACGAAATTTACTTGCATCCAAAATGAAGATGAAGATGCAGGAGAAGAAGAACAAGAATTTGATACTAACGAATAAGACGAATAAACTTCAACACTTTTTTTTAATTTACATCGCTTTTATCTTTCCCAATCTTTGAAAATTTCCGTTATTTTGCAATAGTTTTACATTAAACAGGATTAGGCCTACTGGGGAAACCACTTTAAAAAAAACGCGCTAAGTACACTACCTAATAGGTGGCGTGGAAACGTGTGCATATAATATGATAACAACTTTTATAACTTTTTGAATCGTTATATCTAAGAAACGGTGGCTCGTAAGAAAAAAGTATTGATAAATTTTTTATAGATTATTTTATTTTATCTACAATTTTTGTCTGAGGTACTTTTATGATAAAACTTACCGTTTTTCTGAAAATCGTGAAAAACTCATTTTTTTTACCTTTGACCTTGAATAAAAAAATTTCCTTACACGGGAATGATGGGGAACTTCTAGACATTGTTTATAATTATGTTTTGAACAATTTCACAGAAATTCAGCTTGTTGGGACTTTATGTAACTTCGAATGTCTAAATTGACCGGACTATAATAGACGCTTCATTCAATTATGATTTTAGACTGATTCCCGAAAATTTAATCAATATAGTGTAATAAATTTTCAAATAAAGCCGATATATTATTTTTTTTTATTCATAATGAAAAAATTGTATCATAAATGTTAATATTAAAACGATAATTTAATAGGTTCCATGTAGCTATAAAATTGAATTACCAGGTATGACTTTGATCTTGTAATAATTAGAATCATCATTTCCACTTCTTTGAAAGATCGCGTAAATAAACTCGAGTATGTCTGGCATATCTCAATCATTATTATGATATAATCAAATATTCTTTTTATAATTTGGAGGGAATAAAACCGGGATATAAAACTTGATCGAATCGAGCAATTCCTTGTTGGCTAACTTTCTTCTTGATTAAATCGTTTATACTTATTATAATAATTTATTAATAGTACTTCTTTAGAAGTTTGATTGATTTCTTTATTATTAGCGGTAAGAAGGGTTTGTTTTATCTTAACTATATATTTGTTGCATAGCTGTAGTATGAGATCTGTTTTAAAAAAATTGTATTAAGTTTCGACACAAATATATGTAGGTGATACGAAGTTCACCGGGTCATTTAGTGACGTATATTTTTTTATTTGAGTAGTAAATCACAGGCAAAATTTTTGTAAGAACGACTACGACTAAAGCTGCAGCCGAAAGTTGGCTTTGGATGGTATCTTTGAAAGATAACATAATTTGGGAAGCCGAAATTAAAAATATTGATTAATTCTACTATTGCAGACCTAAATTAATGTTCCAATTTATGACGCAGTTCAGCTACATAGTTAAGACTGAAGAAAAGAATATCATTTAACATACAGCTTTGCGATTTTGTAACTCACTTTTCGAACTCTCACAGTGTTCGAAAAGTGAGTTACAGAATCGCAAGGCAGGATATAGGTTTCGAATTTATTATGTATTTATTTATATTATGTTTAGTAGCAAGGTTGACACTAATCTGGAAGATTAATTGATACCTATAGTAATATTTTCGCGGTTAAAGCAAACGCGAAAGTATGGATGAACGTTTGACTGCTGAAGAATCGATTGACTGAGTGTATATATAGTCTGTAACATCTTATTCAACCCCTAAAAAAAATTTGTGCCAAAAAACTCAACAATTCTCTGTTACTTTATAGTTCACGTTAAAATAATTTAATTTATTTTTAGAATATCAATGACGTGTAGGCCGGAACATAGCTAATGTGCATCTAAATATAGCTCAGCCACCCGGCGTGCCATAAACAATAATATTGATTTTAATTTACAAACGTTACCGATCTGTATTATTATACTTCTAACATACGAAATAAACATAAAATAAAAAATCCTCATCGCGTTACGTTACGTACTTTTTGCTCTACTTTAGATAAACTGACGATGTTAAAAATTCGTGTACGTCAAATTACATTATTATTATTATTATTATTATTATATTAATATTAGTCTTTGACATAGACTTGAAGAACTTGCTCAAGTGGGCTTCATCATGGATTCGCATTAGCGTACAATAGTATTTGATCAAGATCACATATTCAAATTTGAGTTATCTTACAAAGTAATTCGATGTTTCCCATACCAGAAAAGGTGGGAGCTTGTAGTTTAATGTTTATCAGAATGCCAAATAATAAAATGACTGCTTCACGACTGATTTCAGAGCGACCGCCGATGCGAAAACTGCTGTGTGAGTTCGAAAAGTGAGTTACAGAATCACAGGGCAGAGTGGCCCCTGGTTATTGAAAGAGCTAAATTGGGTTTTGTCTTTAGCAAACGACATAATAATTAATTCCAAAATTTTATTGTGTTGGGAATGTTTAAGCACTTTTTAATCGCTTATGTATATATAAATTTATATCGATGAATAGAATTAGTTTTAAATTTAAAGTACACAAATGAGGCCATGCCTACAATAATGTGAAGGCAACAAGCATCTGAACAGCCGAAGCCTTACGGGGGCAACCTACTTTGAAAATAATTGGCTTACTTGCACGTGTTTACTGACACATTTCTAGTGATTCTTTGCCAAATAAAATGAATCATCTTCGGTTGGTTATATCCAAACTATAAATGCGAGGACACCTGAATCTGTTTAAGATAACAAAGATAACAACACTACTAACACTAAACTGCTGTTACTAAATTAACCTCACTAGTAAAATTTTATTAAGAACTACGAGTGAAGACGCTACCTTTCGCTTGAATCTTTGGCGAAATAACATTATTTCCGTAGCGAAATTAACCCTGGTACATTGAATTAATTTGTAAGATAACTCAAATTTGAATATGTGATCTTGATCAGATGCTATTGTACGCTACTGCGGGTTAGACTTCATATACTGAAAACTATTTACTCAATCAAAAAAAAACCTTTTCTATAGGAGATTCGGTCGCCAAAACGTTTGACACCCATCATGACTGGACTACAGACTATTGGTTGTTGATTATCTATGGTAAAAACAAAAAATAAATAAATATTACTCCTACTTTAATTTGTTGAATGTATAGGTAGGGTTTGTTTTATATTTATTTATATATCGGGCATTATTTTATTTATTAAAATTATTTACATTATTTATTCATAAGTAAAATTAAAAATACTATCGCATTGCAGCGTTAAATATTCAACAACATAACATGTGTATGAAACATATTCAACATCCAATAAAATAAATATTTAAGTTCATGATTATTATTCTATTATGCGGCACTAGTTTATTTAAAAAAAACTTTCTCGTCTTTCCCATTAGTTTGACCTATTTTGCAATCAAATTCATCTGCTTACCAACCTATTGTAACGATTAACGACTCGTTATATTTAAGAGCTCCAGCCAGATGTTAACACTGGGCGACTGTAAATTTTTGTTTTATTTCTATTAACCAGTAGAATTTTTATTGGTGTTTTATAGCGGTTTCAGTGATGAAATCAACATTTTATTATAGCTCTTTTATACACTCAAGCAATGAACATCTAATGGCGGAGCATCTCGCAGCTTCCATTTATGAGAGATTGTGGTATGGGTAGACGTCATGTTAGTTTGACGGAATTGTTGCATCGAGAATCCAACGCACGCAGTGGAGAATGAGCGCTCGAATGTCTTGCTACAATCACTTGTCTGCATTTAGTGATATTTAAAATACTACTAATTTTACTTATGTGGAAATATAGTGAGTCCGGCACCTGGAATCCCAGGTTCAATGCTCGGTCTGAGAGTAATTGATTTAATTTGTTCTCTACTCTTTGAATTCGCTCAACTGATAGGTTTAGTGAAATTACATTGTATTATAAAAATGCTGGACACCAATAATGGTTATTCCGTCTTAGCAACTCCTTCAGCAACAGCCGCCTTCCTTTTGTCGAACCTATGGTCCAGTCCTTTCATATTTCGATATAAGAAGAATCTGTATTTTAAATATACCTAAATGTAGACCTTAAATATCACTAAAAAACTTAAAAACTTAGAAAAATGCCTAGAGCGATGGCTGTGAGATGTCTATGTATGTAGATATATTTGGATAAACATTTTAGGAGCAAAATGTATATTCTTCTTTGATACAATGCTTTTAGAATTACACATAAAAATTTTGAAACTAGTTCTCTGACTGTTTCGCAAGATTTTGGCAAACAAAAATAGGCTTCGCTTTCACAATAATATTTATGTGTAATGTATATTTTGATCTATCAGTTAATTAGGGTAATGCGTTAATAGTATAATTAGATGGCATTTAATGTCGCGTGATTTTTATTGGTTTAAATTAGAAATAGGTGTAATTATATATAGTAAGTAATCTCTGTAACTCTTTTCGTTCGCGGGGTTACTAGCCGTAAAATGTGTATCAGATTATTTTTCGATTTTTACAATAAACATGAAGCACAACCGGGATTAGAACGCACGACCTAAGGGTGAGTGACATACTTTAGCACTAAGCTATAGCTTGCTAGTTATGAAATAGTCGCTTTAAACGACTTTTCTTTTTACAACTACACGGGAAGTGAATTTACGACTTAGGAAGGGTTTACAATTCGATGAGTTTATTTTTTTCTACTACAGAACCTTTACCATAATTGCTTACATCTTAGGTTTCCATTAAATTTAAATAAACCTTTAAACAGTTATTAAAATTATATTCATGGAAATAATATTTTTCTAAACATGTTTTCTATACTATAATTATGAACTAACATAATGCGCGGTATATATGTGTAACCTAGTAACGAAGAAATATTTGTTTTTCTTTATTTATGCACACCATAAACAGGTTGCAGACCATAGCCCTTAACTTTATTCTGGTTTGTAATTGAATAGAACGGCTTACTACTATACTGATTTAGAAAACTAAGCTGCAAATTCTTCATCCTAAAATCCTACATAAGGCTTCAATACATTAAACTAATATTCACCTATCACTTCGTGTAATTCACTTAAATGCACGGCCTAATCCAAAATCAATACATACCATCTATATCGCTCCAGTTTTCTGACTCTCCTTCCAACGGTAGACCCTGAAGACACCTTGTACAGAAGCTGTGAAGGCAGGCAAGCAACCTTGGCTCCACGAGCTCCTTCTTGCACACCCCACACTCCCATTCTCTAACCACGCTATCTAATTGGTACGCAGATGTCCTGGCTGGCATGTTTTGGCTCCCAGGTCTAGATCTAATCTTCATAGGACTGTTTCCAGCACTTACTGAGGTTTGTTCTAAAGACTTGCGTCTGTCCTGCTTTTTCCTTGAGAAACTGCCGAATATATAAAAGATACGATCCACCTCCATTCTGAAATATCGTCCCTCACATTATTTCTGTAGCTCTGTGTTTATAAATAACGTGCTACTACGCCGAATGGTTGGGACTGACTGAAGGAATATAGACAGAAGCCCTTCAAAGCGATTTCTATGCAAGCTGAATAAGAGTGTGGTATGAATGATTAAAACATAAAATGGAGTCTTTGTAAGTATATATGTAACGTATATACGCATTTGATACTTTTTCTGTAATCCTACAGGTCTGTAATTATGTAAATCCTTAAGTAGTACCTGTTCACGAAGATACATAAGTACTACGTATACCATTTAATAGTTAAATTTTTCCTTGCATTTTAACTTTCGTTTTATTTGCCTGTCGCTAAGTCTTCTTAGTAGGTATTTCTATACTATAGTATTCTTACTATTTTAATACGTCTTTTGATATTCGAATTTTTAGTTTATATAATTATTTACATATATGTATACAATAATTATACATATGAACTTAAAATTCACCTTTAATTATTAAAGGTCTCATTCCACCTAAACAGTTAAAATTCAATACAATATTTCCGATATTGTTTTACGATTTTATAAGTTTGCTAAAGTCTTTCCGGTTATCTATCAGATTTAAATTATATTAGACGATACCGAGATAATAAAGATGTTTTCTTCAGACAGAATGTCATTTGTGCACAGCCGGGGCTCGAACCTACGACCTCAGGTTTGAGAGTCACTAGGCCAACACTGCTCTTTATCACTAATATAAGAGTATTTGAGAGGAATGGAAACAGGAAAGAAAGAATAATTGAGAGGTTGATGTCATTTTGGATTAATCCAAGTAAGTGGGATATATTCACTAAGCAGTATTAAGCTATCGATTATCAAATCGTATACTAAACTTGCCTCGTTAATCAATTTTATTTTATTATCTATTGTTTATTACTACTTCAAGTGATTAAAAAAATACTTCAAGTTTTTGACATTGACAGAAATGACAATTAACTTATGTAAATTGAAATGTCGTTGCTTCTAATCCGTCTAAATTGTAGAACAACGGCATATCAAAAATCGTTTTTACTAATGTTGTTATTGACGCACTTTTAATTTTTATAGAATATCTAGTATATGACTGGAACCTAAATATTATAATGTAGTAATTTTGTATGATTATCATTTGGATTATGTTTAATTCTATTTCAGATCTGTTCTCTTCAATCGTTTAAATTTAATTTCTTACAAAAATTTGTAGGAATATTTATAAAGCATATTATTACATTTTTAGAAAGCCCATGGATTTTAACTCACAATATATAAAATAGTAGGTAGTAGGCTTATGATTATATTTATATATAAAATAAAATAACAGTGAGTGGAAAACGACGTCGAGACTTTAGACAGTTGCCAACGTCTCCCGGTGCTTTAAATTTGATTTTGTTTTGTAGCGTAGATATTCAAGAATAACATTATTTAGGGCATTTTATCTTCATTTTGCACTCATTTCGCGGTATAATTTACACGTTAATATACATATTTTTTTCAAGTAGAATTAAAATTACTTGAAAAAATATGTAAAATTTGTATTTTTTAACTTTAAATATTGTATGAAATTAATATTAGTAATTATACCTTCTATTTACTTATTTAAATGGGTATGATATTCATTAAGTAATTAAAAGTTGTTCTTTTATAATAAAGTAATAAAAAAATAACTTTTTATTCACTATATTGCCGAACAGGAAATAAAATAAAGGACGTTTCTTTAAACTGTTGTTTCTATCATTTTTTTATACACACATACACTAATAAAAATTAAGCATCTGAGCTTTATTTGAAGCCCTATTTAATACCCTATGCATGTGCAAAAATTCAATCGTCTTTCTTGACAAATAAAAAAGTTATAGCTTTTTGATATATATAATAGACCTCGATTTTCCATAGTCACGACGTTCTAGTCTGCCTGTGGCCTGTGCTAGGGGTCTAGCCAAGATGGCTTAACAGTAGTGTATGTAGAAAGTCGAAAACTAAATTTGTATGGAAATGACAGTTCGTGTCGAAAAGTTTTCATACAAATTTAGTTTTTGACGTTCTACATACACTACTGTTAAGGCATCTTGACTAAGGCCCCTAGTCTGTGGTGTCAGGTGTGATTATAGGGCCCGCGACAGTATTTTCGTGTTGATTGTTGATGTTCTTACATAGAAATGAAAATAATTATGTTAATAATTTTGCTGTGTGGGTGTTGCGAGTAGTGGGAAACGAATGTTTATATTTATAAGGAATTCATATAAAATTATGTCAGTGCTCATTTTCTTTTAGCTTTACGCGGTTGCCTCGCGATATTATGTTGAACATTCATAAATTATGGCTATTTTCTTCGTTATGCATTATTGTTATTGTAGTTTTATATTTCCAGTCCGAAGTAACTCGTCTAGAAGAAGGTTATCGAAAGCTAGGTAAGTATTTTAAGGATTTTATTCAGTGTATTAAATAAAACTATGTATTTATAATGCACTTGACACATTTCAGAATACAAATTAGTTCAAGCGCATTCGCAATCTCGTCAGTTTTTCCCGAAGCCGACAGAAAAAGATGACGATGATTTGGTCGTTATATACAACAGGGTACCAAAGACTGGGTCTACCAGTTTTGTTGGTGTAGCGTATGATTTGTGCAAGAAGAATCATTTTAAAGTTTTGCATATCAACATAACTGCCAACATGCATGTTATGTCACTAAATAACCAGTATAAATTCGCCCAGAATGTGACAAAGTGGCAAGAGATCAAGCCTGCACTATATCACGGACATATGGCATTCCTCAACTTTGATAGGTGAGAATCCTTTTAAATTTGTGTACATTATATATAATTAATTAATTTATCAATAAAAAAACGTTCTTATATCTAAAAACATTGTATTTTACAATGAACTAGTGGCCCTGTAACCGCTAGTTGGACTTTCATTATGTTACTGAGGTATAATGGAGCATTCTAATAGGCAAAGAATTATTGAAGACTCATTTCAATAATTTTTTTACTATAACTTAATTAGTTACAAAAATACAAATCTTTCATTTTTGTAATTTTATACTATAATCCATCATAATCAAAATTGTGCTACAGGTTGGGTACAACAACAAAACCCATATTTATAAATTTAATAAGAAAGCCGCTGGATCGGCTAGTTTCTTATTATTATTTCTTAAGACATGGGGACAACTTCAGACCTCATCTCGTGAGGAAGAAGCATGGCGACAAAATGGTATGGTCTTTTATGAAATATTTATAGTCAGCTGTAGTTAAGTAATTACTTTTTCAAAGGTTATAATAATAATTTCATAGTTTATGTTAATGGTTAATACACTTTTTCAGACATTTGATGACTGTGTTGCAAAAGGACAGCCAGACTGTGATCCAAGCAACATGTGGCTGCAGGTACCTTTTTTCTGTGGACATGCTGCTGAGTGTTGGTTGGTATCTTAAATTAGTCCGAGTTTTACAGTTTAGTACAGGAAACTTTAACAGATATACAAAACAACAAAATTTATGTAATCCAATGTAATTTCTAAAAGTTATTGATTTTCTATTGTTTGATTCAATGAATGTAGTGAAATTTAAATATAAACTTAAATCTACATGAACACAAAGGAAACAGGTTAATTTTATAGATTCATAATATTATATTGCATCAGTTTTCGTAGACATTTTATATAAAATACACATACAATAGATAAATATTTTATATTTATATATTCACAGGAAACCTGGAAATAAGTGGGCATTAGATCAAGCAAAGCACAACCTCATTAACCACTACTTATTAGTAGGAGTTACTGAAGAAATGTTAGATTTTATCTCAGTATTAGAAGCTGTATTGCCACGGTTCTTCAAAGGTGCAATAGAGCATTACTTAAGTAGTAATAAGTCCCACTTGAGGCAAACAAGTTCAAAAATTGAGCCCACATTAGAAACAATAGAACGGATAAAAAAATCTGATATATGGAAGATGGAAAATGAGTTGTATGAATTTGCATATGAACATTTTAAGTTTGTGAAACGGAAAGTTCTTATGAGAGACGTGAATAGTGTACCGCAGATTTATTTTTATGAAAAAGTGCGTCCAAAGTGATATTGAAATTTAGGTTAACGCCTAAAGGTTAGTTGTACATTTTCTACTCTTTATTAATATGTGTTGAAAAATACCGACTGGACTACTACTCTTAGTATAAATTTTCTATTGTTACTAAAAACTGATACGTTTTGTAATTATTTATTTTATATTAATGACTAGTTTATCAAAGTTTTTATACATTATGTAAAACTTTGTTATCTATAACATTGTAGTTAAATTTATAGCACTAGTCTATACCATATTGGTAACGAAAAAAACATTCCATTAGTTATAATTATTTGTAGAAACTTAGTTATGTTTGTAGAAAGTATTATATTTGTATATACAGTGTTTCAAGTTTGTATGCAATAATAGTAGAACAGAAATGAATTTCATTATTTAACATAAAGTTACACATACATCAATTTCCATAGAAACAAATATTTTGGGTTGAAATAGCACAAATATATGTGCCCTTCCCTCTCTGAATTCTAGGTTTGTGTTGAAACGAAATAATATTAAATAGCCATTGCATACAATGGAAATACTATAAATTATTTGTTATATATTTAGGACGAATTTGTTTTAAAAAAATGACTACTTAATTATATAAATTTTAATACTATTATTAATTATAAAAGACGAATGGTAAAGACATTAATTAAATGTAAGTTTTCACAGAGTACACAATTAATAATTTATGAATGAGCACTAATGGACATATTGTACTTATTTTAATTATTAACTTGTTTTTGTTATTTGTGTCGAATTATTGGTTCCTAATATTAATTCTATTTAAAAAAACTAATGTTTTTTTTTTGTTATTGTAGGATAATAATTTTATGGTATTAATAAAATATTACTTACCTTCATAAACATACCGGTATAGTGTTACTGTATTCAAATGTTTTATGCTGATAGTATGTTTATGAATAAGACACATCTTTCCTGCATTTAATTACATTAGGAAAGTTCCTGAGAAAAGAATAAGAATTTGTTTTGTTAAAACCATTTAAAAGTAGCCTATATAAATGGCTTGCACCAGTTGTAACGCACTAATCAATGTATTAAAAAGATATTTGCAGTTAATAATCTCATCTTTTAATCTAAACTACTTCCAGTTGTCATAAGTTAAGTCAGAAACTATAACCATCTAGGGTAGTACCAACACGGCAACATCAGACGGGCTCTGAGTGCACTCTTACGTTCTACTAGGCCATAAGCAGTATATCCATATAGTAGACAGCCATCCCCTTTTACCTCTTAAAGACCTTTTAGAGACTTTGACCTCTTACACAATATTTGTACACGCGGGTCTCTTTCTAACTCCTCTCTGTTTTTTTTTCTGACTCCTTACTAAGCAGTGTCTGTCTGTTTCCGTGCTCCCTGCGTTGAGCAAAGTTTTTGAAAAGATAATGCTAGACCATTCTTTACATTTTAATAAAAATAAACTCTTACATAATAAACAGTATGGTTTCACTAAGGGTCGCTCCACAATCGATGCCGGTGTGAAGTTGATTTCGGACATATTTAACGCCTGGGAAGAATCATATGATGGAGTCGGCGTCTTTTGTGACCTGTCAAAGGCCTTTGACTGTGTTCATCCTGATATACTCGTTGGAAAGCTTCAACACTATGGCGTTGATGGCAAAGCTTCCAGCCTGATGAATTCATATTTAAAGGGAAGGATCCAAAGAGTTCATGTCAATGGAGTCACCTCTCCGGGTTCGCAGGTATCTATGGGCGTCCCCCAAGGATCGATTCTCGGGCCTTTCTTATTTCTAATTTACATAAATGACCTCCCATCCTTTGTCAACGAAGTTCATGAGATGGTATTGTTTGCTGATGACACTTCACTTCTATTTAAAGTGAATAGGAATAACGTATTATTGGACGATGTAAACAATTCTATCTCTCGTATAGTTAACTGGTTTAATGTAAATAACTTACTGCTTAACGAGAATAAAACAAAATGTATTCGATTTACAACTACTAGCGTAAAGCGAGATATTGGTAACCTGAAAATAAAGGACAGTGAACTAAACTTTGTTGACAAAACTGTTTTTCTAGGCATAACAATAGATAGTAAACTCCAATGGGGCCCACACATGGATACTCTTTCGAATAGGCTGAGCTCTGCAGCATATGCAGTAATGAAAATCCGACAGTTTACTGATAAGGACACGGCAAAAATTGTTTATCATAGCTACTTTCACAGCGTTATGTCGTACGGTATTCTACTGTGGGGTGCTGCTGCAGAGGTTCAATCCATATTTGTGCTGCAGAAGCGGGCTGTTGGGGGTATTTGTTGTGTTTCTCCGAGGGAGTCGGTACGGAATAAGTTTAAGGAATTAAATATTATGACACTATCTGGTCAATATATTCTTGAAGCCTTGTTGTATGTCCAAAAAAATATAAACGATTTTAAAACAAATGGTGACTTTCACCAGTATAATACGCGAAATAGAACTAATTTGAGTGTAAGACCAACCAGGCTCCAAAAGATAAACCACTCCTTATATGGAAATTGTATTCGTTTTTACAACAAACTCCCAAGCGAAATTATAGTATTATCACTAAATAAATTCAAAGCCGAACGAAACGAAAATTAATCAACAAAGCTTTTTATAAATTTGAGGACTACTTAAATGATCCTAATCCTTGGGATTGAATTGCTCCAGTTCAAACAATTTGTATGACAATACTTGGCGATTAAAAAGAGTGGCGGAAAGTTTCTTGCCAGTTCTTCTTACCCGCTCTACGCCCTTGACTTGCGAACTGTTAGTAAATGTAAATTTACGATTAATTTAACTTGACGATTCAAAAGTGTACTTGGTTACCCACTTGAATAAAGATATTTTGAGTTTGAGTTTGTCTTTGTTAAATAAAGACACATTTCCTTTCAAATTATAAAAATATACCCCTGTGAAGTAACCTACAAATCGAATTTAGTTCGTAGATATTGTATGTACATCACCTCATCTATTATTCTTAAACCTTATCCTTAAGTGTTTTGAGGTGACCCAATAAGAATTCCACTTAATTGTAGCTTTAACTCTGCCATTATAGTTAGAAGTTTATTCTCTAAACGTATCAATTACAGTCGTTTATTTTGAATTTTAGTTATTAATCGAGATGGCCTCTAAGACTCTTTAAAATTTACTGACTTGACCTTAATAGGCACAATAGTTAACACGAGCAAATACATTAAACGCACCCCTGCACGAGGCTTGCATTTAATTCTCTAAAGTACAAGTTTCATTCAGGGGGCAACCTCTTAATTATTCAATGTATCAACTATCCTTTTCAATTAACCGGAAAATGAAAGTGATAGATACACCTTGCGTTGTGAATTGTAAAAGCTTTCACTTGGGTCAGTTTCAGTGAAGTCGCGCGTGACAGTTCGAGTGGTGCGGACGTCCCGCGATGCCGGTCCGTTCAAAATTGCTGGCAGAAATGCTATCTCGGAGACATAACTTTCGAATAATAGAAAGAAAATTGAAAAGTTAAATACAAAAAGAAAATGAGTTAATTTCATTTTTATATAAATTTTTATTTCATTCAGTTAATGTTTACAAGGTCACGTCCTTCAATCGATAAACAATTAAATACGTGTGACCATATATCGGACTCGTGTTTTTGATATTTTATATAAGTGCCAATACATAGTTTAGGTTAGACTTAGTGATTGGAAAAGAAATAAAAACTTTCTTCTTCATGGAATATGGGCATCTGTTTAGACACAGGTAGGTGTTTTACCGCCAATTACCTGTATAATACTTATTAATATTTACAATTTTTTGAGGGTACTACGTGACTACCACGGCTAGGAATTAACGTCAAATATTTTTAAATTATATCTTACTCGACTAACATGTATATGTTATTCTAAAGTCTGCTAAAGTCGTAAAAGCAGCGTCTATTTTTTTCAGGAAAAATAAAAGAAGGTAATGCTATTATTGCTAGGATATTAATTACATCACATACAAATATATATATAATGTAAGCAATTTTTTTGCCTATTTGAAAACTTTAACATTGTTGTAATGTATTTAGTGTAAATAGTTAAAAAATACCTTACTCTATATTTCAATATTTTATTTAATTAGGTACTCTGAAGAGCAAAAGCGTTTTTCGTTTGTTTCACTGTTTAAACATAATTACGATTTACGGACGACACATTAACCGCACATTTTAGGAATGTCTATTACCAATCTTTTCGCGGAAATATTATTATTATTCTCACTCTTTATTTGTTTTCAAACTGTCGAATTAGCATTTATGATTTGGTAGAATTACAAGATAAACTTAAACTATTTGTATGGTTGTTGCTATCTATTTCAGCAAAGTAAAATTAGGTTATTACTATCATTGAACAAAATAATTTCCGTAGAAGAAAGACATCCGACCCCGTGTTGTTTTATAATAAATAGTTTTGCAAAAAATCTGAATTAAATTTATAAATTACATATAGTACGTCACCGAAAGAAGTCAAAAATAACAAAACATTAAAACAACGTAATAGTGCTTTACGACTTTATTCCCCTGGGCAAGCTATGTGTAGTGTGTACCCTTCATTCTACGGTTAACTTAGTTTATTTAATGAGACAGTGAATCTCCATGAATCCTAACTTATGCTGTAGAACAAAACAATGAAGAATTGGAGACGACGGAACGCAGTCGTGGCAGTACCAGGGCGACTTCTCCTATGGGAGCTGGCTTCCCCATGCAGAACTCGAGTCACGTCAAGTTTGAACCACCGAACGTTCCAGTTATATTTGTATTGGGTAATTGCTTATTAACACATTGTAGCACGATATTTCTTATAAAACAAAATATACGACTAAACTTACGAACTATTTGAAGTAAGCTATAATCTAAAATACAGATGTGACCCTCTTAGAAGCTTTATTATTTTAGGTCAGTAGTAAAAATGGTGCACTGAATAAATAGTACGGATATCTGAAATGATTTACAAAGCCTCTAACGTGTATTGGAAAAAGTATGACTTTGTAAGTTGTATCTACATAGAAAACGGTTATTAGCTACCTTCCAAAATTTGTCTTAATCAGTTTCATATCTTAATATATATAAATTAAATTACGTGTCACGTTGTTTGTCTGCTATGGACTCCTAAACTACCTAACCGATTTCAATCAAACTTGCACACCTTGTGCGGTTTGATCTAACTTTAAAGATAGGATAGCTTACATCTCAATTTATACCCGCAATATTATTTTATTGCAAATTATTTGTTAATTATTTGATAATCACAATTCTAACAGATGGCGCTGTGTTGAAAGTACCAACGTTTCACATAAGCTACAATTTAATGGCATCACCACCAAAAAAGCATGGTGGTCCCCATGACTCCGTTTCCGTTCCCCTTGTATAGTTTGTTACTATGTAATATAACAAAAACCTTCCTATCCCTACCGTTTCCCTTGAATAGTTTGTTACTATGTAATATAACAAAAACCTTAGCCACAGCAACGCTTGGCCGAGTCTGCTAGTTGCTTTTTAAATTAGTGCGGCACCATAATTTTCTCTTAATGATACGTCTATATTAAATGTTGGACAGTGGTGCTAGACAAATTGTGACCCTGAAATACGAGCGTGTTTATTTACACGATACAAGAATATATCTATGTCTAGTAGGACGCATGTAATTGTAAAAAGTGTTTAGTAATAACGTGATCTAGGAGGCCCGGGCAGTGGCAAGGTGACGCACTGTGACAACCTGATGCAGGAGAGACGCGGCCTCGTACATATCAATATGACTGATTTACTGCAGCAGTACGCTATTGGCAATGGTAATATAGTTTTGAGATCTTATTAAAATTCCCGATAAAATACCGGAAAATATTGTCTAAAGTAAATGAAAAAGTAATATGGGCCACCATTTTTGTCTTTCAATCTTATGCTCCCCTGTTTTTGACTGATTTATCTAGACGTTGAGATCTAGATGGCCTTGTCTATGGTTTTTAATTAATTATTTTTATCTATGTTGTCCAAAAGTTCCATCTATCACAACATTTATAACTTACGATTATATTACTAAGAATATCCTAGTACTACGTTATAAATATTTTCTCGTTTTATAAAAATCTTTGAGAAGAAGGTATTACCTCAGGCACCGATGATTAATAGTGTTTAAGTATAGACATAGGCACACAAAATTGCGTCCCTGACACTAAACTGGAATAGAAGTAATTCTACAGTACGTGAGAACCTCCATGTGTTAGTGCTTGTGAATCACTTGTCTTGTATTTCAGTATACTTAATACTTATATCGATTTATCGGTCTGTTGTTACTATTTTTAAAAGGTAAAAGAATTCTGTGAATAAATAGAATAATAAAATTGTTACCTTAACGGTTTTTAAAAAGTGTAGGCTTTCAAGAATATTTGAATTAAGATAAACTAAGAATGTCGTCGGTCTACACCAGTACTGCATGTACATATAAATAAGACCTCTAATGCATACAAAAAACAATCTAAGGTAGTCTTCGACAGATTTTAAAAACACATCTTACCGTAAATATTTGCGTTATTTTCACTTTTCGACTGCTTTAAGAACTATACCGTGAGATACTGAAGGTTTTTTACATATATGTATATATAGACATGCAAGACTTCGGTACACTGTCAAGTAAGACGGTGACAGAGGTGCTGATGTTGGAGATGAAGATGGCGCCCACCGCTAAGACCTACCTTGTGTCTGGCTACCCACGGTCTATGAGAGATGTTGCAGAATATTCAGAAAAGGTAATAAATATGTTGCATACTAAATTATACCGTATTCAAAAACGTATCAGAATTTTCTAGTCTCAAGGCCTATCTAACCACTTTTGATATTTTTGGCAGCGCTCAAGTATGCTGTGCGGGTGTTGAGAATTAAGGCCTAGATAAAGCCAGAGATGGGTTTCATTCCTAATTCTTGGATTTAAGATAAGATAGAGAGATATAAGAAAAGAGGCCAAAGTGATTGTGTCGCCATTATTTACTGCCTGAAACCAAGGCGGTATTTAACTTTTATATTTTTTTACAGCTGGACATTTTTTTAAATTTTGGAAATAAGTACGTCTAAGTTATTAATATAGAGTCAAAATTCAAGTCATTTAATTAACATTTCACTCGGGGATATTCTTTTAAATCGCTTCTGGATTTTAATATAAATTATATATAATAATATAAAGCTTTATAAGATACGTATAGGAGAAATCACATAATTTTGCCGTATATCCATCCAAAATTAATTCCTTTAAAATCCCTTATCGCTCCTTTATTCCTAAACATCGATTAGGGAGTTCCGTTAAATAAGGATAGACCGTGTCAAGGACGAAGAAATAATAATTACGTTCTTATATCCATTTATTATAAAGGTAAGATTACAGGTATAATTTAAAAAGGCTATAATATTTACCTATAATAAAAATACCAATAAATATATTATTTAAGTAGTATAAATAATCAATGTATTGTCTGTTACACTGATAAACCGAACTGTATCTATAGCGTCTATCTATCTATAGGGTGACAGTTTCAGTAACGTTTCGTTTCTCTTTTGAAAGTTGCCGCGATTTTCAAATTATGACAGTATTTCAGCTGTACCACATTCGTAATATATTAAATCATTAATAACTGTAGTAACTTAAATTTAACCCAGCCAGAATGTTCTAGTCTATAAATTTAAAAAAAATAAGCAACTGTCACCCGCATCATACTACAGCGCACATACCTACAATAATTGTTTGTTTTCTGTATTTATTTTAAACTTTTTAATGAATATGACAAGGTATTAGACAAACCGTAGCATTCTTCTTGAAATACAAAATATATGCATTTGAATAATATACCTACTTGGTATAAGCTGGATTACATTTGAAATCAATATAAATGTAAAACTAACGAATTTACTAATTTTAGGCTTTGATTAAAACTATACAGACATTCCACAAAGTATTAATGGAATTGTTATAAACTTCCTAAAGGTAACAGCAATGTCAATCTTACATAATTTCTTTAAATGTCATGTTAATAAGTAGGCTTTCATGGAAGAGTTAACTACCTAAATACAAAAAATATAAATCGTAAAATGCATGTAAAATTTTGTTTCTAAACTACTATTGATATAGTTTTAGTAAAATTATAATTCGATAGTCCGATGTAATGCGTCACATAATGTCACGGAACACGCGATGGTCAATCTGCTAAGCTTAACATGCAATTTATTAAAATTGCCCACCAGGAATAAAATGTTTCACTATTGTTAATGCTACTAGAAGCTTAAGATAATTGGTTAAAAAACCTACATTATATAGAATTTGTTATTGAGTGATTTCCATCAAATTCGCTCTCGTTCTAGCCTATATTAGTAAGACATTACAAGAATCTGAAAGACATTCTTCATGTTCCTGATAAAATTCTTTATTTTCTCTTGAAAACTAGAATCGGCTCACATCACTCTCTTTCCAAAGAGTTATCTACATCTCTTTAAGAATAGATAAATAGATAGATACACCCTGAATAGCCAGTCACACTAATTCATCTTCGGATACAGTGGCATTTAGATGCTATAACATTCAAATTGCGATTTTTTGAAGTGTAACTTCTTTAACTCTTCTTAAGCGCATGAGGGTATATTTTTTTATTTGTTTATTTTTCGAAGAAATGGGAGAGAGCGATTGAGACCGATTGAGAGAGAGAGTGAGAAGGGAACGTCGCATCACGACGAGCGAGAGGTGGGAGAGAGCTATAATGAGAAAGATTGAGAGATCGAGTAAGGGAGATCGAGAAAAATACACGCTATTGGTTGATGTATTCGTTTTGTAGTTACATATTAGAACTTTAATAGATGGCAATTCTGTCGCATAACGTCTTGTCCAGTAAACGCAGATTTTTTATTTATTTATATTATCATTATCATTAGCACGTATACGGTATACAGTGTGTAAACAGTGTGAATATAGATATACAAATACATGGAGTGATCATGTACTGGTACATGATCTATTGGGGCTTTTACCTTAGTAATAATTAATTTACAAATAATTTTCACTTCTGACATGGGTACTTTGTACGCACGCACTTTTTTATTATTAAAACAAAGCTTGTGCAACTCCCAAACCATGTACGATATTTTTTACTTTTAGATACAAACAATTAGTGGTGTAATTCTCGTGAGCTGGCGGCAGAAGGTTCTAGAACGACAAATAGAGTATGGGGCGCGGCTCGGCCACGTGGTGCTCAGCCTCGCGAGGATGGAGTTAAACAATTTCTATAAGAATGTGATGCCCGTTGCTGACTATTTTGATCAGAGCAATATGCTTGTTGCGGTAAGTAACCACAAAGTCTTATAAAACTAAATTAAATATATATTTGCTGAAGTATTAAGTGTCCATAACACAATAAAAGTCAAAAGTCAAAAATAATTTACTCATATAGGTAACACAATGTACACTTATGAACGAAAAAAAGAAATATACATTAAATGCTTCTAATTTTACATTTACTGCCAGTTCTCAAATCAAGGGCTTAGAATGGAAGAAAAGAACTGGCAATAAACTCTCCGCCACTCTTTTTGATTATATATAAATTATCGTGATAGATGTTCCCTTTATATTGTTTTTATATGCTTGTTTCAGTAGTTTTAATTTTTTTATTATTTAAGTTATTGTATTAGTGTATTTAGTTTTTGCTATTTTTCGCATACAATTTTTTTTTAAATTGGTTGCCTGAAAGAGATTTTTTGACAGCGATAAGGAAAAACACCTTTTAATGCTTTTATTGTGCTGGTTTTGTGATGTCTTCTTATTTTGTTGTCTTATACTTCATTAAGTTCTTATTCCTGTCTTTCTGAATTGTATGATTTGCTGTAAAATTTAAAACTAAAAATTAATTTATATTTAATAATGAGTTTTTTTAGTGTTCAATTATTATTGGCAGTCTTGGTTTTTGGCTTCATTTTTAAGATATATGGATTATATTTAAAAAAAACAATTTTGTCTATCTAATTGATGGAATAACACATAATTTCCGTCCTGCATATGACTGATAATTTTATCATCCCTTTGATCATACTAATCAGATTTGTTACTTCAGGGTCGTAAATTACAAGTAGAAAGTATGATCACTGCATGTGAAAAAAAATGTATGTGGCCCATGAGGGGATCGAACCCGCGACCTTCGCGTTATTAGCACGACGCTCTAACCAACTGAGCTAATGGGCCGATGTTTGAATATGTGAAAAAATTAAGCAAAACACCAATTTTTAATGTATTATTTAATTGTGTTTAATAGTAACAAAAGTTTATATGCAATTATTTGATAATTTCGTTTGCAGTCTCTTATTTACTCCATACAAGAACAATAGGCTATTTGACAGTATTAATAATGTTATTGTGATAAATCTGTAAACATGTCTGCCATATAAACATGAATATAAATCATGAATTTTTTTAAATATCCTTAATTAAAATATTTATTTTGATGTATACATCAGTGATCAGACACGCGACGTAATGTCGTCGGCCAAATATTGTTTGCCAGTTATATTTCGTCGGAGATATAGTAAATAATCTGAAATAAAATAGCTCATTAGGTACTTTTCATTACTGTGATTTCCCACTTTTTTGTTTTAAATATCTATAATGATAGCGGTAAGCAACTTTATTAGTAAACATTTAAGATAACTATAATCGTTTATTCGATAAACACATTATAGAAGAAATTGAATAATACTAGCGGAACCGACGGACGTCCTGTACACGTCTTTAATAAAAAAATCATCTACATAATTGTAAATCTAAACCATTATCGATTCCTATTGAACACACACTAAAATCTACACCTTTTTGGCGGAGTTTAATTACAAACACATGCACAGAAGTTTTATATATTATATAAAGATTGGTAAACCAAAAAAGAAATGTTTTTTGTGTAGGAGAGTATTGGTACACTCCTGGCTAAACGTGCATTAAGGCAGTCGTAATATTTTTTATTTATTTAAACTTTATTTAAAAATTAATATAAAAAAAAAGGTTTAAAAATTAATAAAAAAAATATGATTTATTATTAGGGCCGCAACACCTTATCGCCAAGCGATCTCTTCCAGGCAACTTAGTAAGAATAATAACTGAAAAAATTTACTAAGGGTAAAGTACAAGAAGTGCATAATCAAATCAACAAAAATTAAATTACAAGTAACACTGAAACGTCAATTAATCTAAAATAAAATAATATTAAATTAAACAAAAACCTAATCTCACTTCATGAATTACAATCCAATACAAAAGAATAAGAAAATACATCAATTACAAAAGTCACGATTGAGCAGGATAGGATATGGTTAAGAGGTAAAGTGAAGAATATTCGTCTGTAACTGTCTTCTGAACAGCGATAGCGACCTATCACATCGGAGCTACGGATGTTCACAGAACTATATCGAAATTGCATTCAAAATCGCTACAATAGCTATTGACAGTAATAGGATAAGATTCGGTGTGTCATGTCTGTCACAAAATCCAATATGTTTTTGACATGTGGTTGTCATTCTGAATCTTACCCATAGAATACCGGTCCCAAACAAATACACGTTGTGTAAAGTTGACAAATCGAAGCCCATGAATAACACAAGCCTTGCGTGACCCCATATCGATTGGACGAGCAATGTCAATGATACCTGTATGTCTCATTATATGCAACCTCAGCCTTCGTGCTAAATCATGACAAGTATTTTAAATATCTAATGCGTTAAAATGGCAATATTTCGCTATATTCTAATTATAATGTCAAATAGTTATCCGTCTGATGTGACAGTCTTTCGGTGAATGAAAAACATTTGAATACTTGGTAAATAAGGTTCATTCAAGATAATGTCCTTTGAAGAAGTTGTATATGAATGTGAGGTACTAACGTAAAATAAAGACATTCATGGCAATTCATTTCTACAGAGTGAAGCGGGGAACCGTTGCTGGGTCAATCTTAATATTATGCAAGTACGTTGCGTCTTAAATTTATGTAAAATTTACACAGTGGTAAATTAACTGTAAGGGTTTGGTCCTTTTTTTCGTGGGGAAATGCGTTACGCATACCCTCCCGCGTTGCGACTGCCTTCGGTTAAGTGTGTGCCTTGGCCTATGTGGCACTCGCTAAAACCCCACGGCGCCACCAGCAATTGCCCGAGGCAAGACACCGTAACAGCATAGTTTTGTCCGCAAGGCCGTAATGATTACAATTTATAATATTCAAGCGCCAAGTAGTTTAGTTAATGGGTAGGTAAATTTCCACAATTATGCTCAATTTTCTTGAACAAGTCGTTATTGATCTATTATTTTCTTTGTATTTGTTATAAATCGCTGATGGACGATAGACGTATTGGTCTTGGTTGAAGGTGAACAAATTATACATTTATTTTGCTTTAATATTATTTATTTTCGAATATTTGAATTGCCATGAATTGTTGGCATATTTATTGTTAAAAAACCTTGCCAGAAATAAGATGTTTAGTGCCGATTCGAAATCTCGTCATGGGCCCATTAGCTCAGTTGGTTAGAGCGTCGTGCTAATAACGCGAAGGTCGCGGGTTCGATCCCCTCATGGGCCACGATACTTTTTAATTTAAGTGAAATTTTATATTTGCAAAGTCCATTTTCCCAAGGGGCAGAGAGAAACTTCTAAATTAAGTATCTATCTGTATCGTAAATATTTAAACAAAAAGTTCACAAAAGAATTATTGTCTACATACATATTGCCTGTGTCAAGTTTAAACTATAGTATGGATAAATAAATCTATAAATAATAGTTGCACTGTGAGAATAAACAGCTGCAACTTTCAATTAAACTTTCATGAAGGTAGAGCTGTGAGGGAAACCATTGTATGAACGTATAATATTATTTATACAGGTTGCGCAATCAGTGGTGTATTTTGATGAAGCAACACTTTTTCTTGTTTTGTACTGCCATCGAATTATCGTTAATAAATTATTTGAAACTTAGGCATCGAATACAAATTAAACTATTAATGATGATAAAGATCAGAAATCACAACTAGTTTCTACATTCATTCAACGATGTACTCAGTTACTCCATATGCATATCGGCTTGATATGTTACCTTTTTTCGGTACTAACTTGCGATAGATGTACTGATAATGTTATTTTATAGTGAATTGTTAAAGGGTTTAAATAAACATGAATAATAACGCATTGTATAGCTAAGCTCCCTTAAGCATGCACAAAAATAAAGAATATGAAATTTTGATCCAAAATTACCTACAATTGATTGTCAAATTGAACATCATTCGTTAAATCAGAAAGTAAATTCAACAAAATGGTGGATAACATGTTAAGTCTTTAAGTTAATATAACGATGCCGTCTCGAGTCGTCTATTATCAAAATGTGCTGCTTTTCGTGGTTAAGGATATTAAGAAACTTCATTAATTTGATCTGTCTTTTCTTACGTTCATTTACATATCCCCAGGCCAAGTATATAGCCATATATACTTTCCTCAATACGTACTTGCTACAAGTCGTAGATTAAAAATGTAAAAACTAAATGTAGAATAACGACTACAGACTACAGACGCAGAGCAGATAAAAATAAAATTTATTTCTTTAATCTATGACTTATAACCAAACCAAATTAAAATCATGCTTCTAATTCTGCTTCTAAGCAATGGTAAAAAAAATTGTAAAACTTGTATGACTCACGTACAATGTTATTTATGAGTAAACTGATAATTAGTAGTTCAATGCTTGTTAAACATTAATAGTGGGTGTATGTGTAGCTGAATACACCTATATATTAACTGAACTCTACTATTACGAAGAATTATGAATTTTTACTGAGTATCGTTCCTTGTACTTGTTTGAATGTTTGATGAAGTTACTTTGAAGGTTGTCCTAAACATTTATGAAACTAGCTTCAACATATTTAGGTCGTTTGTGACCCGTATTTTTAATAATTTTGGGGTGACTTACTTATTACATTCTTTTAACTTTCTCATATCTCTTTGTTTTACAATCTATCCCTAATGATATCCTTTCTCTAATTTATTTCAAAATGGTACCGGTAAAAAATTAAAAAGCTACCCAGATGTTTAGTCGTAACTAGTCGTAGATACGTCTCTGCCTTTGTTTAAAATTGCGTATTTAAGGCAACCAAATCGAAGAGCTTTTTTGGATGCTTTTTTAAATATTAATACCTAACGACGACCTCATCAAAGTTATTAATGAACTGTTGAATATTGATTTGAACAGGTGTAGAAATTGGTGACTCACAGATACTAAGTAACCTATCAATATGTTATTATATTTGAGTCATTGATTATTCGTAGTAATAGCTTTTTTAATATTTTAAAGGTGCTACGAGTGTTTACTTTGTTCTGTTCTAAGTTTTTAGATATTTAATGCATAAAGCTCTATTTGAAGCTAATAATTAAATAATCCAGTGGTGGTAAATCCAATTGACACACATTTTTGGGTTAACCCTTCTATTTATTCTAGAACGTCTATTTCAAGAACTGTCATTTTTTCTGTATAAAGTTTCACATATTTGACAGCGCTCAAGGCGAGACTGACTAGAGATACGAATTAGAATATTGACATATGTTCTCCTTCACCAGATGACACCAAAAGGATCGAATCCAAGATGAGATCACATTCCACGAAGTTTACTCTATTATAACTATAATTTAAATTTATTGTTTCAAAGTCATGAATCCTTTTGTCTTTAGGTGAATGGTGAACGGAACCCTGATGAAGTGTACAAAGACTTTCGCGCTGCTGTTCTGCAGATACTAACCTCCGTTGAAGATCAGGATATGAATGGTGTTGGAAATGGTGGTATGTTATATTTACATTAGATGTATATGTTATAAAGCTGTAGCTTACAGATTATAGTAAAACAATTATGCACAATATTTAACTGTAATTATATTTCAAAACTTGTAGTGAAAAGAATTGTGTTCTGCTTTTCTTAAACTATTTTTATAACAAAGTCGGATGCCAAGAATATTTATAATTATTATAGGTACCTAGTATATATTTTCTGGATATATAAAAATTTACACGTACGTTAATTTAACTATTAAACCACTCTCGTGAGCGAAAACATCATGAGGTAACCGGCAGACCCAAATAAAATTTGGTCACAAAATGCTGATCACCTACTTGCCTATTAAAAAAATGGCCACGAAACTGATAATTAATTTGAGGCCTAAGCTTTTAGCGCCAGGTCTAAGCTTTTAGCGCCAGGTCTAAGCTTTTAGCGCCATAGCTTATTAAATAAATATTGATTCTTTCTTATACTTCACCTTGAATTAATTTTACGAAAATGAAAAGAAGTTTAGTTCAGTGGAGGTTTCGGATGAATTTTCATAAAATAAAACTGTTAAAAGCTGTCAACTGACTGTATAGTGTAAAATTGTATTAAAGCATTATAATAGAAGTTATTATATTAATTGGTTGTTAAAACTCATTAGAGGATTTATTATACAAAAACTAAGAGGACCATTTGATTTACCTCGGAACTAATATTGATTATATTTTAATATTTTTTCGATTGAAAGATAATGCTAATGAAAGTTAAAATTATAGTATTTACTGAGGTAACGACCAAAACCCTATATATATAGGGAGCGTTCAAGTATTACGTAACGAATTTTGGAAGGGTGGGTCCTTTTGTAAAACGTTACGATGCGGGGCGGGGATTAAATTACGCGTTATTGTTAATATTTTTTTCGACTTACACCACATAATAGTAACTAAAGAGTCCATAGGTGGTCACGAAACGTTTTTTGGGTACAGTACAGCCCTGGGATTCTGTAACTCACTTTTCGAACTCGCACAGCGGTTTTCGCATCGGCGGTCGCTCTCAAATCAGTCGTGAAGCAGTCATTTTACGATTTGGCATTCTGATAAACAATAAACTACAAGCTCCCACCTTTTCAGAATGCCAAATCGTAAAATGACTGCTTCACGACTGATTTGAGAGCGACCGCCGATGCGAAAACCGCTGTGTGAGTTCGAAAAGTGAGTTACAGAATCGCAGGGCTGTACTTGGGTACTGAAAAACGTAACGGCGAGTTACATGGGGGGGAGGTCAATAATCTCCAAAAATTGCGTTACGTAATACTTGAACGCTCCCTTACGTCTTATGTCCGTATAATTTAATAAACATTGTAGTTAGTAATTGATACCTTTGATAATATTTGCTTATGTGATAGTATAACGTTTATACTGTTTTTACAGAATACACAAATTCAAATTACTAAAATATAATGCAAAACTTCGTGGCCCATGAGGGGATCGAACCCGCGACCTTCGCGTTATTAGCACGACGCTCTAACCAACTGAGCTAATGGGCCGTTGTTGTTACTGTCGAAAATACAGTATCAATATTACAGTAGGTACTTAAGAACGTAAAATTTTATCAAGAATTAGTTTTCGAATTAATTTATTGCATAGATTATCTAAGGTTTAACATTATATATTTTTATCTAGCAACAAATTTTGGCATCTATCGCGATGTTATACATATTTCTAGGTATCTAAATATAAATTCATTCTTGTAGAAGAACTAGTTTAACTTTTATTACTTTTCAATACAACGATGTAATTACGTTAAGTTGCTGAATATGAATTCGGGGGAGTAAAAATATTTAGCATGAAACATATAGTACCTATAGTGTACGATCAAAAGAAGTTATTACTTGTAGTCAGACAGAGAGACAGAAGACAATAAGCCGTGGGTTTTTAATGAAGTTACGACAAACGAAATCCTTACAGCCTAACTCCTCTATCACAATATGATGTTTAAATAGAGACAGAATTTTACAATATATATACATATATATAGAAATACCTAGCAGTAATTTCTATATTGATAAATTTTTAAAACTTTAATCTGTTAAACTGAGAAATCAAGAAATTATTTATTGTTTTCACACATAATTAGGAGGGTGAGAGGTGGTCTTATCGCTTTAGAGCGAACCGAATGATATACAATAATTTAAAGAAAAAACAAATATTGACTGCGTTTACAAATTATTATACATCTGTTGGCAATTAAGGCCGACAGCCATTTGTAATATTAATTTATTCCTCAGGCATACCGGGTGAAATAGTTGGCGTTGAACCTGCACCAACGAGAATTCAAACTGAATTTCAAGCCATTGATGTCGAAGATATACCAGTTCCAACTCGGCCAATGCCAATTGTGTCGCCCAATATGCCACAGAGCATACCACACGCCTTGACACAGAGTATGCCAAAGGTCTTGACTGTCAACGGTGTGGACCATGTGAACTCAAGAGTAAGTGTTTTACTTAACACTTAAATCTTTAACATTTGATGTTGTTTTTAGTAGATTTAGATAATTGAGAAAACATTTTCTAAATAGATTTTTCAGAGGAAGATATTCTCTTTTATATATAAAGTTCTCGTTATGGCGTCCTCTCGTCTGTCACCGCGTACTACAATAGAACTTTGAATATGTTAGCGACATCAGCGCTATGATATTTAATGAAATAACATTTTAAAGAAACATTGAAATGTAGTTTGTTGTCATCATTAGGGTCCCTACTGCTTAATTGAGCGAATTGTTAACTTATTATTAAGTTAGTAATTAGGAAGAAAGAGAAAGAAACAAAAAACGATGTTTAGGTAAAAGAGAAAGTGCACTATCACCCACACTAAAGTTCCTTGTGTCAGCTAGTCTCTTCCATTTGACATATGTTATGTATGCTTTTAGGTACTTGACGTATTAATTTAAAACTGTGGCACAAGAAGAATACGTCCCGTTTCAGCATGGGACAGGTTAAGATGTTGCTTAAGATTTTTAGTTAATGTATAAAGTTTTGAATCCTTAGTGAAAATTTTTAAGAAGTTTATGATGAATTAAAATCCATACTGATCCTGTGACTAAAACAGTGTTGGCTAAACTCTTATGAGGTTGTAAGTTCGATTCGATGGACTTTGCACCACTGGACTTTCTGTGTATGTGTGCATCTAACAATCGCTCGTACGGTGAGGAAACCATCGTGAAATAATTGGCATGTGTCAGATAGAAGCTTGTTATCAAAGAAACGTATGCAATCTCAATGTATCAAGGCCCATATAGAGTTGTGCTACTATTAGGTTTATTATTATTACTGATACTGTCATCAGTACATATAATCTTTTTATTTATTTTTAAATTAGATTTTTTCTTTAATAGCGTTCGAATTTCAGCGAAATTTTAGTTCAAGGAAACTTGTTGATCCTAACAAAAGACTTGACCTTTAAGTTTTCGCAGACAATTTGTTTACTTTTGTTCGTCATTTGACGTTGATTGATCTAATTTTGTTAATCTTTAAATAGTCCTATCAAGGACTAATACCTGCATTGACTAATGGTTTTTCACATGCGCCGTATATGATATTTCCAATTGGCTTAAAAAAAGAGCGACACAAGACATTAGCAAGTTATAAAAACAACAATAACAACGTTCTCATTCCTCCACGAGTAAAAGCCTCCTCCAATGCATTCCACAATTTTATATCTTTTTCCTATCTCCAGCCATATTTACCTGCTCGTATGGTGATAAAAAACATCGTTAGATAACGGACATGCTTGCTTTACCCTCAAAGTTATCGGTGTGTATCAGGTATCTTAAGAAAAACTATGATCACAAAACATATACAGAAATGTGATGCCCAGACCAAGGGTTTATAAAAAGGTTTGATTAAATTTTTTATTTTTTTTATTACAGCCTGAAGTAATAAGAGTTCATGGTACCGCGATTGCTGCTCCTACGCTTTGGGTGGTAGGTGGTCCGGGAAGCAATAAGGCCGCCTTGTGTCAGCGAGCCGTGACACAAAGACATGGTTGGACCCATTTCAGGTAATTTGACGTTGGTTTGGGAATTTAATAAGGTATTAATCATAATGAATCTGCTTCATGTGGGACTTTAGGACCCGACAGATGTTGTCCTGTACATACAAATAAAACCCAGTGACTTGTAAATCTAAACTATTCTCGAGTCCACTCGACACACACACAAAATTTTCAGGAAATGTCCAGTAGAAGGAGTTGTGTATTAAACTGTACAGAAGATTTATGTGTATACAGATTATACTGCCATTTTGAGTAATACTTAGTTACATCAAATTAATACTGTAATAGTGTATTTTACTTAGGACTATTTTCAGTTATATAACATTTTTTTAATTCTGTTTCGCTTGCTTTAAAAATTCTAACAATTGTAATTTTAAGAACCCGCCAATAGGCTAGGCAAGATGGCGTCTTACCTGTGACATATCATGCTTGTAAACACGTAAACAAAGCTATAGTTATCTATCATTCTGCTATTTGTGTTAAATTACACAAATACAATATATTATATTTGGATCACAAACATTGTTTGGATCCCAATTAAACTCCAATCAGTATTAGGATTAGACAGGCGAAGAAATATTATTTACAAGCATGATACGTCATCGTCGAATCTAATCCTGACCTCGGGATTCCCTCACATACGTAAAATATTTCTATGAATTACCAGCCTAGGCCAACATCTTCGCATCCTATCTGATGCTGGAGGGGGACCAGCATCAGATGGTGCCTTATCCCGTGCTGCGATCAGTGGGGGAGAGTTAGCACCAAACGACCTGGTCACCAAATTGGTGACCGCTGCCACTGTCGATGCAGCGAGAAGTGGCCATGGTCTATTACTAGATGGATACCCTCGGGATGTAGACCAGCTGGCCTGGTATCAGAATGAGGTCTGTGTGAACACTCCTAATAAATATATTTATTGACATTTATTGTACTATATTGTTTCATAGCAATTAACCTTTATTTATTTCGCTTATAATATATTGTTGTACGCGATTGGTTAATACAGAGTAACAATAGAATCCTCTATTATGTTTAACACCTCGATGACCCAGAAACCGTATATTTTGACCCTTCGAGCCGGATTAAAAAATACCAAAGTAATGTTAGGTATATAAGATATAAAAAAATATATATATTGCCATAGAAGTTTTTGTTATTTTAATTTCGTTGCATAAAATTTTAATTTTTTTATAGAATTAATTTTGGATTATTATCTGCATTTGTAGTCTATTTATCTATATTTTGTTTAATGTAATGAGCGATACTTACTTAAAATTCCAGTTCAAAGTACAACCACGTATGGTACTCTTGGACTGTTCGAAGCTGCAATTGGGAAGGGGCAGACGAGATGACTCTGTAGCTGCTTTTAGAAGACGACTCGAAGTGTTCCGTGAACTCAGCCTCCCAATGCTGAAAACGCTGGACCAACAGCATCGGCTTGTTATTGTATGTATTATTTCGCAATAATACTATTAATATTCGAATTATAAAATGACTAAACACGTTACCATGGTAACGAAGTTACTTCTAAAGTAACCATGGTAACACCGTGTTTAACAAAACACACAAGCAATATCTTCCAGACAACCATACTCAAGTATTTCCACTGAGGTATTTATGAACCAATTCGACTTTTGGTCCTTCAAGAAAAGAGCGTACCAATTTTTAAAAGGCCGGCAACGCACCCGCGAGCCCTCTGGCATTGAGAGTGTCCCTGAGCGGTTTCACTTAACATCATATGAGACATCTGCCAGTTTGCCCCCCGTTCTAAAAAAAACTAACAACTACAGAGCATACAAATATAGATACGTACTATATTTTTTCATTAAATATTGAATAATTCTAACATTATTGTTTAGTATTTATACTCGAAATATGACCATTATCAGGTTGACGGCGATACCGAGTCAGAAGAAGTTCAAGCAGAATTTACGAGGGTCCTTCTAGAGGAGATGGAGAAGGCTGAAGCCCTTGCTGAGATACCACAACCGGAATACTCTACTCCGAATGGTACAATTTAGTATTATTTAAAAAAAAAATCCTTTTTGGTTTTTTAATTGTTGATTCTAAATTTAATTGTTTTAACTGAGGATCATCATGATTTGGTTCTCCCTTTTAAGATGAATTTTACACGATTTAACAATGATTTGAGGTATATTTCGAATAACCGACTTAAAAAAACGGAGGTTATTTTACCCATATGATTATGATGACCTATTTAGGCTTCCTTAATTTAAATCGGACTTAACTCTGGGAACAATCCAAACTTCATCAAAATTAGTTTAGTAATTTTGGAGATATGTTTATCCCGTATTTCTGTAGGGGAAATGTATAATATTGGTACCTGATTTTATTTTATTTCGCAACGAAATTTTTTAATATGCGCAAATATTTTATTCTTTGAACTGCGTTACAGAAGCAATGTCCCAATTCACACATGCGATATCCCGTATGGGGGCAGGATTGGCTAATGGGGTCCCAAATGGGACCCACAAGGCGGTGCCAAATGGTAACGTTGGCAACGGGTTCATTGGGATAACTAATAATAAGGTATTTATTTCGTAATTTAAATAGAAAACAAAATCTTTGATTGACAAATAAATTCTTAAGATCTACAAAAACAACTGCCCGCTGTTTTTCTATATTTTAGAATACTTGGTACACAATTTTCAAAATTGGATTAAAGGCGTAGAATATTCATCTACCCTCTATAATCTGTATTTCATTATCTGGCTATCTCTACTTCTCTCCTTTACTTGCAATTGCTTTCTCTGTCTTGACTTAGGTCCTGAATCAGTATTTTTTAAATTTCCAGGTGAAACCATTGATAAACATGACACGCATCCCTTCTGTGTCCCAAATGACACAAGATGACGTCAGACGACTGTACGAACAAAGTTCGGGAAATATAACTGTCAATACACATATATAATATACGTCAAAACATCATGAGTGGCCGAATTTGGATGTATGAATTCTACAACTACAGAATACTAATAAAAATATACTATGACTAAACAGGCGGTAATATACGTATACGGGGCTTGAGACAAAGTCACTTTTCGACATGCAATTGTATGAAAATAGTCACGTGTCAAAGGGGGAAGTCATTCCCATCACACTATAGCTGTGGTCTATGGATATACAAACATAATAAAGTCAAAATCTGTTATAACGTTATCGACTACTCATATTTGGTCGTAAAAACCAATAGTCGTAACAGCCGATGACGTTGTTATTAAGAACCTAATACAATAGAATTCAGCCTTTGATTTTGGTCAATATAACCGGTATGTTGTTCTAAACGATGTCGTCGTAAACGGTTTTGACTGTAATTGTAATAGTAGAGAAACAGAATATGTATGAAAATATAAATGTATTTTTTCAACGATAGCAGGTCACACCATATTTACCTCGGGCCCCTGTGTCAAATGTGTCAAACCGACTTACTGTCTATGGCTCTATTATATATAATTTAATTAAGTTTATATTTATATAAAAATTAGTTAATAATATGGACCAAATCACTAACTTATAACACATTGAAAATGTTAACGTTTTTTATATACTTATTCTAAAAACCTAGCTAGTAGTAGTAGTAGCCTTGGCTAATTCGTTATTTCGAGCGAATAAAGCGACGTTTAACACGACTCACACAAAGCCTCTTTAGGTCTGGGCCTCAGATTTCTGAATCTGCTTCATGATCATTTTTCAATCTAATAGGCAAGTAGGTGATCAGTCTCCAGTGCCTGACGCACGCCGTCAACTTTTTGGGACTTAGACATGTCGGTTTCCTCATGATGTTTTCCTTCATCGTTCGAGCGAATGTTAAATAGAAAGAAAGTCCATTGTTGCACAGCCGGGGTCGAACCTACGACCTCAGGGATGTGAGTCGCACGCTGAAGCCACTAGGCCAATACTGCTGTGCATTCTTAATCTTTGTAAATAAATGTATGTGCCTACAACTTTAATATTTTTATAGAAACAAAAACCATCACTTTTTGAGTCGTCATATTGTAAGTATACACATATTCAAAACTACTTATTGTTTTGACTAAAGCACTTACCAGTTACCTGTACCTTGAGGTTTATGCTAATGTCAAAATGTTACGCGCAATACGATTTTTCATACAATTATTTTGCTATTATTATCTATGTCCAATAGCGTCAACATAGATGAAATCGGATGATGGAGGAAAAAACGAACGAGAAATCGAAACTGTATTAAGACATTTCGTATTTTAATAAGTCGTAATGGATTCAATTGTAAAATAAGTCTAGATCTTATTGTACGTAAAATAGATTTCGTACGCTAAACGTGCAAACAATAAAAATCTGTCAAACAATTTCTCTCACAAAAACATTACTCAAATTTGAAAACACGTTTGTTATAACTAGATGAGATTGTGACTCTCGGGACGTATTTAAAATAAGTCACTCAATTTTAATTTTAGTATAGTAATATCAATTAGTATCACAGGGGCCAAGTTAGTCTTAGTCGTAGAGTTAAAAGTAAAAAATCACTGCACTTGTAAGCTAAATTTTATATTATTAACCAATTTAAGGTACAATATTGATTATATAAATAAAACAAACTTAAGGCGAACAACACCCCTCTTCATAACTGTTTTTTATAATATTGAGATGAAAAAAAATTAAATATAAAACTTACTTTTACTATTATTTTCTTAAAGAATTTTTTGGCATAATATATAACAATTTAATATACCAAATTTAATCATTTAAAATTGTGTATGCATTAAACAGATCATTTATTTTATAGTCAGGAATTGGCTTAATACAATTAGGGTTAACCAAAAGTTATAAAAATGTTAGTAATAAAAGTTCAAACAGGCAAAATGCCTATACTATGTGTAAAACTTGACTTAGATTTTAAGATAATCATTAAGGTTATAATAATAAATAAACAAATAATTTGTTAACACAATGTACCTTAGCCCGTAGCCTTATTTGTATACGAACAATAAATAAGCACAATTTTTATATGAATTATTTTTCGTTTCATTGATCCTCTTGCTTTAAGTAACTAACTAACACACCTGAAAAGATCTCGATGTATTTTTGTAATTTCCAAAATTTCATTCTACATTTGTGGATTTAATCTTTAGTCATTAAGTTGAAGAAGAAAACCCTCGCGGAAACTTGGCGCTATAATTATTTTTTGATATGCATTGGCAATCAATGAATCACATTAATATAATTTTTGTAATCTTATCTGCGGCCTTCATGGTAACAACCGATATGCAACATATTAATCAGGTTATTGCAGTTTAGTTTTCGAAGTGTTACAGAAGAAAAATTCTTCGTTGTAGGTAAGTTTTAAGAATTTAATTCTACTACGTTTATAGTAATAAATCACGATTAGAAGAAATAAGTTTTGAATTGAGAATACGTTAGTTACCTATATGAAATTGCCATAGACTGCTATCTTTATTTATTATTTTTTAATACGCGATAATCGGTGCGTTTGTCTTCACGCCATTCCATTACGCTACTAATTTGTAATTTTTATCATATTGTTTTAAAAGCAAAGTTTTTCTATTCCGCGTTAGGACAACATTTTTGTTAGGAATAACAACAGAATATAAACCTCTGACAGATATATTTTCCACAGATTACAGACAGCTGTCATTTCGCCTGAAAGTTTCCCGCGCAAAGGGTCGCGCTGTTTGGCACAGTTTTGACGACCTTGACCGCCTGATTATCTGCAGTTGCCCCACAGAGCTTGGGAAGCTCGGGTGTTGGTTATAGTCCTAGAAGGGGATCTTAAATAAAATGGTAAGTGAACAATTCTTTAATTCTTAGTTTGTTATATGAATCTAAAAATAAAATCTATAATTATCAACACATTGTGTAACGGAATGAAATTTAAGATAAGATTACGTCACAGACGCGTTAAGAATAGAAAAGATACTTTCTAAATTAAAATATACTTTATTTTACTCATTATTTATTTTATATTATTGATGATATGGCATACAGTGATCAATCCACTTAGTATCAAGTTTTACCTGAACATAATATTGCTGCGGTATAATATTAATTTAATCAATATAAGATTTTTTATTATTATTGCGTTTAAAGGGTGTTTGTATTATTCTAAATAAAGTTACAATACATTTGAATTTAGACAATATATATAAAATATATGTATCATTTTTTTTAAAACAAGATAATTATTTTGCGTAATAAAACATACGTAGACAAATGATTTCGACAGTTCTTTTAACATCGGTTTTTTAAAGGTCAAATGGCAACAAAATCCAATACTAGTGATTAAGGTCATAGTACACACATGAACCACATTGTAACCATGATCGTTCCAAAAATAGTAGATTTAGATATTGTACATTCACACGAACGTTATTGTGATCTTGAAAAACAGATCTTCGTCTTCCTAGGTTACTGTAATTTTTTTTATAATATGAAAGTATGTGCCTACTGTGCCTGGCGTGGTCTATTTTTTAATCTAAGACATGCTGATTTCCTGCCAATGTTTTCCTTTACCGTAGAAGTACCATTGGTATGTTTATCAATTTCAGCACAATTAAATAAAATGCCAATGCATTACGTTTTATTATTATCTATGTCAAATTTACATGATGCACCATTTCATTTACAAATGAAAACTATTACTTACCGTTGTTTATTGATTGAACTTAACTTAATAATGTTAGAAGTAAGATGAATCATGAATCATTTCACGCACGTGTTCTTGATCTGAATAGTGACTACTTCCATTCGAAATATAATATAATTTCAATCGCGAATCGAATTTTTTATACGGTTAAATCGTTGACAAAATTTGAGTAAGTTACAATAATTATAACCACTTAAATAAAAGTAGTTTGGGCTGGGACTATAGGATTTATTTTTTTACTATACGATAGTTTTTTTTAATTCCCTTATTATTATTTTTGCATATTTTTGGAAATGTTCTCTGAATAAAGCGAACATACGTTATAGTTGATTTTTTATATATTATATTAGAAGACCTAAGTAAAAATGCAATATAAACTTTAATATTCCATATTAGCAAGAGTTACTCTAGTATACTCTACTCCCCTGCAATTGTGTCCAGGGACTTTTTCTATCTCTCATTTTTTTCCAAAAAATAAGATACCTTATATTAATTCCAATACAATATACGATAGTTACCATGACTCAAAATATCCATTATGACGATGTAAAATGACGTGCAAATCGTACGTTTGTTGGTTATTTTTCCAAAATAATCCAGTGTTATTCTTACGCGCAATAAGAACATTCGTTTTACCGCCAATTGGCAGCTTCGTGAATAGTTTAAGATACCGGGGACTTATGTTAGGCGTGAATATCATTTAACTCCGTTTATACAGTGTTATAATTCAATACAAAATTAAAATTATGAAAAAAGATAAATCAGTGTAACGGAAAATCCACGAACTCAGTTTACTTGAACGTGTATTTTTTTTATAGAATAGTGGGCAAACGGGCAGACGTTTTTTACGTAACGTTCTTACTCAGTTGACTACAAGTTAATAAAAATAAAAAATAACTACGATATTATTGCTATATTTTCCCTTTAATGTTTTTTACATTTCCAAAAATAAACAAGTGAAGCTCTAACACACGCCAAACATTAATGTTCATTTCGCGCCAATTTTCATCTTTAGTGGTGGCCTTCTTGCTAAATGAGAAACTCTCTCAAAGACGAAACTATCACCAGTATAATACTTTATTTTGTGTTATTTTTTGTTACAACGTTTATTGAACTGAACTGTGTACACTGGAGAACATCGTCTAAGGTAATTGATCATTCGATAAACTCTAGAAGATGCTAGAATATTATTTCTTTATATTTATGATATTTTGAATTGCCAATAAATGATAAGTTTAATAATTACTATTTAAAGTGGCTACAAATTTTGTGCCCAAACAATATCGAATAATGATAATGATTTGGTTCTTAAATTAGACTGTTGGGCTTGAAATTTTCGGCCCATAATGACTGAATGAAATCGCACTAAAATACAAAATAATAATATAAGAATTTGTTTTTTATAATAAATGTTTTAATTTTGTAGTCTTAGTAATTATCGTCAATTTTTTATATTAATTCTATACTCCCATATATTTTCCATGTATGTATTGCTGTGTCTTTCAAGCACCATCCCCATCTTTCTTTAAGTTATTTCTCTCACAATAACGTAGTGTATTCTTGTACGACTTATGTTTGTATTGTTTAAAATTAAAAAAAAAACATTCTACCAATATCCTGGCTTCATTATATTACATAATGCGGAAGGCATGACATTTATAAATTTGAAGCCAAATAATATTTATGACTGGCAAAAACTTTGCGTAACCTGCTACACGCAATGTTGAATCTTGGAGTATCAGCTACGGCGTAGCATGCAACCTCTACGAATAACAAGTATTTAATGTTTTAACATCCCATAATGATTAATGTATCATCTGCGGCATAGTTTAAAACGCATATGATTTGATTTCACCGAGATAACAAATGTTAGAACGCTGGATGTGTACCATCTGTGTGTTAAGATTAATTGACCCTTACTTATTTTTTTACCTTTAATTTTTTATATAGTACTAATATTTTATAAGACTTCAAAACAATTCAATATGTGCTCAAAATACTATTTGCGGAAAAGCTAGACTGGAAAAAACCCCATGAGTACTTTTATAAATGTTATATTACAAAATGACTAGGCTCCGCAAACTATTAATAATAAATCATTTTAAATATCGTTAATAATTGACTGACACATTTTCGCAGACATCAGCCCTGAAATAATATATTTTTTTGTTAAAGTAAATAATAAATTTTTTTTAAATCGGAGTAGTGACTGTGATGTCAGAAAGATTTTAAAATAATCTTATTCTAAAGTCATCGGTTGTTCAGTGATGGCCGCTGCCGAAATTAAAATAGATCTGACCTTATTGTTACCACAAGGTTACTTATAAGAATTCGTTTTATTCGGTTTTGTCATGGTAAATACAAAATACTTCTATCGAAATATAAGGCATTTTTTATTTCTAAGATTCAAAATTTCTTTATAACATTGTGATCTCCGCACTAATGTTTGGCTGTCGTTAAAGGGTTAAATATACAAAAAAGTAAGATTATTATTATTATAGTAGTGATATAAAATCCAGATATCACTCAAAGGATAAGATTTTTAATAATTTATAAATTCTATATATTATCTGATCGAAGAACTGGCAACCAAAAGCAAAGAAGTGGGTTTAACAATGAACAAATCAAAAACAAAAGCCATGACAAACAGAACACCAGATACTATTATCCTAGAGAACGAAAACCTAGAATATGTGACAACCTACATATACTTGGGACAACTCATCTCCATGACAGAACAAGCCCATCAGGAAATAGAGAGAAGAACCTTAAATGCCTGGAAAAGATTCTGGTCATTAAAACACATCCTAAAGAATAAAGAGTACCCACTAAGGATCAAAAGGAGCATCTTCAACACCTGTATCTTACCTATCCTAACGTACGGCTGCGAAACTTGGACCACTATGTAAGTCACAAGTCAAAAGCTTGTGACTTGTCAGAGAAGTATGGAAAGGAGCATACTAGGTTACACACGGAATGATAGGAAAAGAGCTGTAGATCTCCGAAGGATCACCAACTGGGAAGATGCAATGACCAGAGCCAAAAGGCTTAAATGGACATGGACAGGACACCTGCTCAGAGGCCAGAGAGCAAAATGGTCGAAAAAATTCACCCAATGGACACCTCGCTACAACACCAAGCGAAAGAGAGGAAGACCATGTGCCTGCTGGGCTGACGACTTTAAAAAAGCCACTGGTCCTCTGTGGCAAAGACTTGCCAGGGATAGGAAGCAATGGAAACAGCTGGAGGAGGCCTTTGTGCCACAAAGGCAAGCTGTACAAGAGGACAGCTGTGCTTGTTGAACTTTTTTTTTATATACATTTATATTTCATTCTCTTGTATTAGTTGAAATAAAGGCTTTGAAATTGAAATTGAAATATATTATCTGTATAGTACTTAAATTTAATGTTTAGAAAACCATAGATTGCCAAAACCTTAACAAAATAAAGTGCCAATTTGACAAAGAAACAATAACGATCAAAATGTGACGATTTGTGTGATTTGCTACTATTTTTTATTGTAAATATTATAAAATGGATGAAAAATGTTTTCCATGCGATCAGCCAAAAATTGACAAATTGCCAGCATGTCCACTTCAGTGTATGTCGCCCAAATGCAAAGCTTTTCAGAGGGTTAGTGATACAAATATATATCTCAAAAGTAGCATTATTTTCTCTGCTTGGTCATCAAAATTTTATATCGAATATAATTTGTGTGTATAATCTTTATCCATTGATGACTTCAGGATTATTACCAAATAAAGAAATATAAACAAAACCGGATCTTAACATTTAACAAACTTCCTGTTATTTTATAGACTTAATATTGGTTTAAGGTTTCCCAATATAGAAATTCTTATAATATACTATGTACGCCACGTCATATTAACGAAATTAGTCAACGTTTTCACTTGAGCATTCTATCCTTCCTTTTAAATGTGGTCACGTGTGAATTTATTAAAATAGTGTTATAAAACTATTTTTATAAAATAATCTGTCCCCATAATATCGAGGTCACTTGGCAATTTACCCCTTTTTATTCCCGTTTCAGGCTCCGATTGATACTAGCAAGAAACCAATCGTGTGGGTGTTGGGTGGCCCTGGATCCGGTAAGGGCACACAATGCGAGAAGATAATCGCCAAGTACGGCTTCACACACTTGTCTACTGGGGACCTGTTGAGGGCAGAAGTCAAATCGGGCTCCGACAGAGCCAAGTGCCTCACTGCCATTATGGAACGGGGTGGGTCTATTCCTTTTTTTACTTCCAAAGATATAAAGGGCATATTGTAATAGTTTTCTTCCCCATTACTAAGTCTGCGAAGCGGGCAGTTGTTAAGTTTCAAATATGAAAATCGGTTTTTACAATTTCTTGCTTTTAGTAGCAAAAGTATACTGTTGAATAATTTTTGTTCAACGAATTACTTTATTTTTATCGCGTGTTGAAAAGCCATTATATAGAATACTTTGCATTTGATTTAGCTACATTAAGCCTTATTATTTTAACGTTACCTCGCGATCTATATTCCGCTTTTTAACATATAATTCAATTTAAAAAAAATCAATGGCACTGGAACTTCTTTAGGTCTGGGCCTCAGATTTCTGGATCTGTTTCATGACCATTTTTAAATCTAATAGGGAAGTAGGTGATCAGCCTCCAATGCCTGACACACGCCGTCGACTTTTTGGGTCTAAGACATGTCGGTTTTCTCACGATGTTTTCCTTCACCGTACGAGCAAGTGTTAAATGCACACAAAAGAAAGTCCATTGGTGCACAGCCGTGGATCGAACCTACGACCTCAGGGATGAGAGTCGCACGCTGATTCCACTAGGCTATATAATTCAATTATAACAGGCAATTTTAATTCAATTATAATTGCAATTGATTTTAGGTGAGCTTGTACCCAATGACGTTGTTTTGGATCTCCTGAAGGAAGCCATACTCGCCCGTGCGGAGCAGTCAAAGGGATTCCTCATTGATGGATACCCGCGAGAAAAGTCTCAGGGCATCGCTTTCGAGAAAACTATTGCACCTGTTACTGTAAGATATTTCTTTGGTCAATGTAAATAATTTTGATTGATATGATAGCGATTCTTTCTGTATATACTATATATACTTGTATATACCACTGTTTCACAAATTGTATTCTGAACCCTGAGGTCGTGCGACAATGCTATGCTAATGGAATTTTTCTATAAGCACAAAGTATCGTATAAGACGTGAGTTGTAGTGCCACTGGCACCACCGGGAACGTCTTTTTACATTTATTCCACGAGGTACTTGAAATATTTGTAACATTAAACAATATTTTTCTTTTCTACCATTTTAATATTTTTATATTAGTCTGTTTTTTTTATAATTATTTTAGGTCATAATCTACTTCGAAGCGTCATCAGACACGCTAACAAAGCGTCTTATAGGACGTGCGGCAAGCTCTGGAAGAGCCGATGACAACGAGGACACCATCAAGTTAAGACTCAAGACTTTCCTCCAGAATAATGACCTGGTGCTAGCTCAGTACCCTGAGAAAATCAAGAGGGTGAGATTTTGTATAATCTGTATTTATGAACCATTTTGAATTGACATGATTTTTTTTTAATTTCGCCGAATTAGAAATTAAAAATTTTTTTAAATGTTTAACTTTCAATTGGCGTGATATTATTGATATTAGATAATATTTATAATTTCGATAAGAAACGTGAAGAAAAATAAATTTCATGTAAATTTCCTTTTCAGATAAATGCTGAAGACTCAGTAGACGCCATCTTCAACCAAGTTCAACAGATCTTGGATCCGCTCGTTGCTGCCTAGACAATACTCGCATTGTAAATATTTATTTAAAATGGCCTTTAATAAATTATATTTCTACTGTTATATTCATTTATTTTTGCACCAAAAAAACCTAGCACAGTAGAAATATTAGTCTCAGTAGTTATTCAATTTTTAATAGTCATTTGACTTACATTTACTAGATCGTCAGTTAAAATACCAGAAACGCGACCATATCAAGACTTTCAAGTACAGAAATTGCTTTACACACAGATCGTGAGTGGGCCTTGGTAGTTTTTTATTGAAATTCATTAACTATCTTCACTTACGACTACAAAACAAAAATATTTTATCTTATCTATGCAATATCATAATGTACATTGCTTAAACTAAATTTGAATTAAACCTATAAGTATATATTTATCAATTTATGAAATAAGTTTTTTCTCCTGTTCAATCTCTCGTTGACGAACAGCCACCGCAGTCTCCACAAGTAGGTACAAGCGTTTAAAATCTTCGTTCGCCCAAGACAACACCTGAGAAATAGGTTCCAGTTAAACATGAACCTTTGTCAGGTGATGCCGGCGTTAAAACGTAAATGAAACATATGTTTTTGTTAATCGTTTATTAAATCAAACTAAACCACTTCGACAGAACCAAAATATTTTTATTGAAACTAAACTAGTTACAAATTGGGTCTGCAATTTAACTTAGTTTTAACACCGACGTCGCCTGCACATAATTCCTTCCTTTAATCGCTATTCTTTACCTTATGCTACGGATAAAGAAGCTAATATCTTGCAAAAAATATAACATTTCTATGGCGCTTATGCAATTTTGAATTGACTGGGCCTATGATAAATGGCAACCGGCTTTTGATCAGATAAATTAAACTATACTAAATTTTAATTCCTAAGTGTGACACCACATATCAGTGGTAGCAACTTCTAGTTCCACGGCAACAGGTGGCGGTGGAGGGCTCACCTGCCGACGAGGTTGTATCGGAGTGAGCTGGGTCCAAACCGTACTCTCACTCAGCTCTGGTACATCATCAGTAGTTACTGCCATTACTACTGGACTCCTGGTTATGGAATTGTTAACGTTTAAGAGCATTTGAATTAAGAATGAAACACAGTCAAATATATTAAAACAGTATGAGAGTTCCCCTATTTCATTTAAAATTTATAACATCAAGCAATCTTCTGATTTCTAATATAATACCGTCCGCCGTCTTCTATTTTGCAGCGTTCACTACCTAAATATAGATGACAATATGAAGAAAGCATTATTTTTAGACAAAAATGTAATTTTCTTTCTAACTTTCACCCTAACGGAAAAGTAACTCACTTGTCAACCTTCAAATCCCTGTCCTCGGGGCCATAGCGTATTACGCTTTGCCACACTGACGGGTCGTATTTCACCTCTTCCTCACTAATGGTACTGGAGTAGTCTTCCTCGCCATCTCCCAGCTCTGGTTCATCGCGGTATACCAAAAGACCGTCTCCATAATCGTTTGGACGACTCGGATCGATGATATTCTATGTAGAGTTATATTACATATTAAAATGGATAAATCCCTTAATTATGGAAACGAAGGTATGACAAATATATATTGGAATAAAAAGTAAAATAGGCACTTACCTGAACTTCCACTCCATTCCAAGGTACCATAATATTACCAGGTGGAATGCCGAACCCCGAAGTAGAAGGATATCCCACCATGGGTCCCATAGGCCCCACAATTGGTCCCATGCTGTGAAGCTGTTTGCGACCTCTTCGTGATATCGTATAGTGTAAAGGGTCATGACCTTCGCGTCTTATCATTTCGGGTAAAATACGCCGACGTGCGTTTATAAACCAGTTGCATACCTGATTCAATTACTTCGATTTAGATGTGAAATATCCTTTTAAAGAGACTTTACGTTATAATAATTTATTTTCCGGTACTAAATTAATCATTATTAGATCTACTGACTACTACAATTAAAATCCAATATGCTCACCTGCAAAACTGTCAAATTTGCCTCTTGACTAAGAGCAAACTTCTCAGTATCACTTGGATACGCATTGTACCGGTGTTCATATAACCACCTCTTTAAGATACGGACAGAATTCTTTGGGAGGTTACCTCTTCTCTTCCTTACTGCCCCCACGACGATACTTTGAGGTGGATGAGGTGGGGGCAGTCGGGGCATCATCGCCAGTGGACGAACGTCCCCCCAATCATTACTAGTATCAAGGTCTTCATTAGAAGACGTTGACGGAAATCGGTCCCGTGCTATAAATTCAAATTAAATTTCAATTAATAAAACAAACTTATAGAAAACGTTTTATTTTAGCTTGGTCAATGCATTTCACTTTTAAGTAACTTTTTATATTAGCCTAGTAGTTTAACGAAAATTTTGATCTCCCGATGAAACACGGCTTGGTACCTAATAGGTATCATATCTATACTCAAGTATCGTAAATCGCAACGACGCAGTTGACTTAGCAGAGATATTGTAAGGAAAGTACTAAAATTGTATTAAAGTTTACAAATCCTTGAACTTCACTTCACCGGCTAGTGCCAGTTTTAGTTGAAGTCATGATTTGAAGCTTTTGAAGTAAAAAATGTCTAGTTAAAGAGCGGGTAAAATATTGTCAGCGAAGTTTCAGTCATTCTTGTTTTTGTCAATAATAAAAGTTTAGTGTCAAAACTTTTACTATACTTACGCAATTTTATTTTCATAACGTTGATCACTGATTTACGCAGCGTGGCCAGTTTTATTCCTAATTTATATTATTAAGAATAACTCACGGTCGATCGTGGACGCTTGAGGACGAACTGATTCCGTTTTTTGTTTTGAAAATCGATGCGTTTTGTGACAAATGACAACTATGCGAAAACGTTTGTCTATTTGAAATTTGGAAAAAATATTGTTAGTGGCCAGTTTTTTTTGTTTTTAAATAGTCCATTTTGAACAGAGTATAACATGTCGATGATATCTTAATCGACAGGATTTTGTGGCATTGTTCATTTTTCATAATTATTTTACTTTCACGCGAAACTAAAGTTTTTTTAAGAGTCATGGTCCGAGAGAAAATATTTAATTTTTATTGAATTAAAATGCGTTTTATTAGTATTAAACTAATTTATTCATCAAATACCTTCGCAAGCAATATACTGGGTTTTCTAACGCATATTAATCCGGTATAAGTTATTTTTAAACGAGTTTTCCTCAGGAATATAGTCTCATAATTTATCTTTAAATTTTAAAATTTTCAAACATGATACGTCAATTGCGACGAAGAAATGGAAGGGAAGAAAGTAGCTTCCTAAACACAGAATTTTCTCTTCTGAGCCATTCGTATAAATAAATTTCACGTCAAATAATATTTTACCAAAAACACAAACAAAATAGATTAAAACGTTTATTAAATACAACTATAAAATCACGTGGCTATTTCTACTTCCGTCTCCAAGTCTGGGCTGGTCATCACAGCGGGTGCTGATGCTGTAGTGGGGGCTTGGTTTTTCTGTGCCTTCTCTATCGTGTCGGAGAGAATTTCTTTTAATGTGTTCGCTAAAGCTTTTGGATTCCCGCTACTATCAAGCTGCAGGGGAAGAAAAATAGATAGAAATAATAACAATAGGCAAAATAAACAAAGGCTAGTGTTAAAATTAGTTAGTGAAAAGCTCTTGAAGCCTGCATTTTTAACGCCTGTAAGACGCTAAAACGGAAACGAAAAATAACTGATCAAAGTTGACGAAACGTAAGTTGACATAAGAAAGAAAAATTAACAGTGAAGATATGACCCATAGAGAGTTCCAGCTCCTAAATGTATCTAGTAAAGAAAATCTGTCTACCGTAACTACATGTCCGCCGAATCGTTTGTGAACATTCTTCACTTTATGCGCGGCTTGTTTCACAATTTGTCTTGCTGCGTTGATTTCCGACTCGGGTCGGCCCAACTCTGAAAGCTTGCTTTGCAGTCTTGCTGCGGCTAACTAGAAATGTAGAAAATCGTTAAGATTATGATCGTACGTTCTAATATATCCATTTATAATATTATTGTCACATCATATAGATGCTAACATGAAATTATATTTTTAATATTATTTCTAAAAAACTATATTCAACCTGTCTGTTGTCTTCTGTCCGGTCTGCTCAAACGATTTTGATAAATACCATTAATATTTAACTGCACTTTAATATGCAGACTTCATTGTATAATTAAAGAATGTTTTGGAAGACACAAAACGTTAATAATTATCTATTTTTCTACAAATTGTCGAGAGAGCTACAATATATCTACTCTTGCCCCATTAAGAGTACAATATAAGTATACGCTTGTTTTATATACAGTCAAACCTGGATAAGCGAGTTTTCAAGGGAGCACAATCTTATTCTCGCTTATAGAGGTTTCTCACTAACACGAGTTTCTCGCTAATGCCGGTACATGGGTAGCGATTCTCTCTTATAGGGGTACGCAGCAATATCAAGTCACAGCAAGTACCAATGTAGTAAATATGTAATATGATAAAATTATGTGCATAATGTGCACAACATTTTTGAGAGTTTTCTCACTTATCCAGTTCTCACTTACCCAGGTTTGACTGTATTATGATATATCCCGCCACGCGAGTCCACTGGCTCCGTCGCGTCGGTCACATCCACGGTATCTTACGAATGAGTCGGTAGTAAAAATATGATACTATACCTCATTGTCCACCTCCAAAGCAACAATTTTCTCGGGCCACTTGACTTGCCTATTGAAAATGCTTGACATCCTAGGATTTCTGGGGAAGCCCACCAGAATGTACCCTTTCGCATCTTGATTTAGTAGCATCGTTTCTTTTATCAAATCCACGGTTACTTGCTGTAAGGATTAGGGATATGAAGCTTGCAATAGAAAATACTTTATTATCTTTATTGACACAGATATTTGCATCTATTATACTATATACGAGGGGGTTATGCCGAAGGGCCTCGCTCCTCCGAACCCTTTTAAGTAGATCCCCAAAGATTTTATGAGATTTTGAGCTCTCTTGGTTGCAGTGAGTGATGAATCGCGCTCATTACATTACTTTAAGTAGCTTGTATACAGTATATATAGTAGGTAACTTGCTAGTACATAGTAATATTTCGCACTTTTAAGTTTCAAGTTCTAAATTAGAGATATGGCGGTCTGTTGTACATAGATAGCTATTACGTAGTTGGTCCCAAAACTAAAAAAAAAAAAAAAAAAAAAAAAAAAGGGGGGGGGGAAAAAAAAAAAAAAAAAAAGGTAAGGGGGGGGGGGGGGGGGGGAAAAAAAAAAAAAAAAAAAAAAAAAAAAGGAGAGGGGGGGGGGGGGGGGGGGGGGGGGGGGGGGGGGGGGGGGGGGGGGGGGGGGGGGGGGGGGGGGGGGGGGGGGGGGGGGGGGGGGGGGGGGGGGGGGGGGGGGGGGGGGGGGGGGGGGGGGGGGGGGGGGGGGGGGGGGGGGGGGGGGGGGGGGGGGGGGGGGGGGGGGGGGGGGGGGGGGGGGGGGGCCCCCCCCCCCCCCCCCGGAAGAGAAGGGGGGGGGGGGGGGGGGGGGGGGGGGGGGGGGGGGGGGGGGGGGGGGGGGGGGGGGGGGGGGGGGGGGGGGGGGGGGGGGGGGGGGGGGGGGGGGGGGAGGGGGGGGGGGGGGGGGGGGGGGGGGGGGGGGGGGGGGGGGGGGGGGGGGGGGGGGGGGGGGGGGGGGGGGGGGGGGGGGGGGGGGGGGGGGGGGGGGGGGGGGGGGGGAGAAACCCCCCCCCCCACCCCCCCCCAGAAAGGAAAAAAAGGGGGGGGGGGGAGGAGAAAAAAAAGAGGGGGGGGGGGGGGGGGGGGGGGGGGGGGGGGGGGGAGAGGGGGGGGGGGGGGGGGGGGGGGGCCCCCCCCCCAGGGGGGGGGGGGGGGGGGGGGGGGGGGGGGGGGGGGGGGGGGGGGGGGGGGGGGGGGGGGGGGGGGGGGGGGGGGGGGGGGGGGGGGGGGGGGGGGGGGGGGGGGGGGGGGGGGGGGGGGCCCCCCCCCCCCCCCCCCCCCCCCGCCCCCCCCCCCCCCCCCCCCCCCCCCCCCCCCCCCCCCCCCCCCCCCCCCCCCCCCCCCCCCGGGGGGGGGGGGGGAAAAAAACCCCAGGGGGGGGGGGGGGGGGGGCCCCCCCCCCCCCCCCCCCCCCCCCCCCGGGGGGGGGGGGGGGGGGGGGGGGGGGGGGGGGGGGGGGGGGGAAAAAAAAAAGGGGGGGGGGGGGGGGGGAAAAAAAAAAAAAAAAAAACCGGGGGGGGAAAAGGGGGGGGGGGGGGGGGGGGGGGGGGGGGGCCCCCCCGGGGGGGGGGGGGGGGGGGGGGGGGGGGGGGGGGGGGGGGGTGGAAATTTTTTTTTTGTTTTTTTTTTCCCTTAAAAAAGGGGGGGGGGGGGGAAAAACCCCCCAAAAAAAACGGACCGGTTTTTTTTTTTTTATAATTTTTCCCTTTTTGGCCGGACTTTGGGGCCCGACTACGTATAATTATTATATTATTCATTGTTTTCTTGTGTGGGTAAGTGTCGATGAATAATGAATTTAAATATCTTTTCGTTATCAGCGTGAATTTATAATGATAATAATAACTGAGACATAAATTTAAAAAAAAATCTTGCCTGATTTCATCAAACTAGTTGGTCTATAGTATTATGTCAATACGGGAGTTACTTAACTAAAGTTGGGTTTCATATAAATATTTTAGATAATAATCAGAAATATAAACAATCATCGTACACTTGCAACCAACATTGAGCCTTAGTTTTTACCACACTTATTGTATTTTAACATTCTCGTTTCCGATAATGTCCAATAGCATAATTAGTGTCATTTAGATTTGTGAACCCTTAAATAAACCAAGTTAGTTATAAGCTCATATTTTAAGCCATTACGGTCAGTTGTTACTCAGCTACAAACAAAGAGTTTTAATTAAACATCTCCATACAAAAAACCGCCACTGAAGTTAACTCGGGAAACACGAAAATTTCTAAATACACCTTGCGATTAATACTCGGCTTCGTGAAACAAACTTACCTCAGAAATATCTTCTTGTGCCTGTAACTTATCAGAGACCATTCGCCCCCGCGCAGTATCCTTTACAGCTTCTTCCCTGATCAGCTCACCAGGCCTTATCATCATATATCCTGTGATACTGGCCATTGTTTCAGCGACTGTCTGGTTCCCAGCACCGGGGACACCGTTCACAAATATAACTGGCAAATGTCTGATCGGAGACATGTCATAGACCAGGTCTTCCTAGTATACAACAAAATCGTAAGCGAAATTTGACTATTTTTAGCAAAACATGATATTTAGCGTATTTATTTAGTATATTAAGATTTATACAATAAATTTTTTTCGGACACAAATTTGATTTTGCGGATTGTCGATGTTTATCAATTCAAGTTTAATAGTCACTCATCTAAATCTAATATCATCAAAACTTTGAATGTACATTGTACACATTATAATGTTTTGAGACTAAATCGGCAAGCTCTATAGAAAATTGACCTTAAATTCCGTGTCAACTAAATTATTCCTACTAGATTATAGTAATATTAGCTTTTTAAACCATATAAAATTTATAATGTACAGGTAGGTTTGAACTCAAGACTGAAATAAATTTGCTCTGGAGAATCAAGTCTGGGAAAAAAATAAGTTTGAAAAATCCTATTCCTACCTATCGGTGGTTGTTGTATTACCAAAATAAGCTTATTAGTGAAGTAA